AAATACAGAGAGACCAGGAGAGGAGATGTACTCACGGTATGGTAATGGAAAAGCCAGCTACACAGAGACTACCACACTCCTTTTTTTCTCTCATCTTTGAGAAGTGATTGCTAGTTCATGGATGACACAATACCAGAGTCAAGGAGTCTGCTCTTTCTGTATTACTGCTTTATGTACATGACTCCCATGGCTACAGTCAACTCAGGGACCCTTAGTGCCCATGATTCTATCTGCATTCCAGCATTAAAAAATAAAGTATAGCGGAGAAAGGCCATGTGCCCTTTTTTCTCTATGGAAACTGCACCCACCACTTCCGCGTATATTACATTGGCCAGAACTTAATTACATGGCCACTCCTAGCTACAAAGTGGGTCTGAGTAGCCATGAACCTTAGCTTGGGTACCCTAGATGCAGATCCTGAAATGAGGAGTCCTGTGAAAATGATTTTTTTTTTAAGTGTCACGAGGAAGAAATGGAAAGGGTAGAGAAGAAAAACAGGCAGACCAGGAAGCCTGTAAAGGAATGATCTTAAGCAAAGCCTCCATCCTGAAGTTAGGTCTGGAGGGAGTATGTTCACATTTCAGAGGCAGATCTCGAGGTGCTACATTATTTCACACTCCGACTGATCAAGACAGGGTTTCAGCTCTCCAGGCACACAGGCAGAATGGGCTCTGGCAACCCAAGGTAGTCCTCTGATAATCAGACACAGGTGAGGGCCAGTATGCATGACTATGGTAAAATGAGGGGATACGAGAGGGGCACTTGCATCTTCTGCTAAACCAGGCATTCAGGTTAAAAGCAGGGGTTCAATTACCACAACAGAAGGGCAGAACAGACTTTGGTGAACAATTAGTAGTGACTTCCATATGAGACAACAGAAGAGAGAATGTTATTTTTTTTGAAAGATTGAAATATTGATGCAGGAACGAGCAGAACAAGCCCAATACTAAATGTTAAAAAGAAATATGCCCAGTGGCACACAGACAACGAAAGCAACTAGTATCTTGGTGAGACGTGGACTGAAATTGGGTGGTTTGGTTAAACCAAATCTGGAAGAAACACCAGATTCCTTGGAGAGGAAGCATTTATCAATAAATAATATTTTAACTTATTTACAGAATTAAAAGACATGGTTTTTCAAAGGGCTCACTCAGTGCCCAGCAGAGAGAGAGAGAGAGAGAGAGAGAGAGAGAGAGAGAGAGAAAGCCCACACTAAAGCACATCATTATTAATTTCAGAATATTCGAGATAAAGAGAAGATCTGACAGACAAGCTTCCAGAAAGGAAGAGCAGGCCAGAAAATAACCAGGATTTTATAGCAGGAAAACACAGCCCTTGGTAACGAGGACTGCATCAAAGCCAACTGCTAGAATTCTAGATGTTTTATTGAAAACAGAATTAGGAGCATGTCTTACAATTCTGCTGCTAAGTTTCACCAACAGTTAATTTAGTGATTCTGTAGTAACAGAAAATTGGGCAAATCAAGGAAATGAAATCTTAGTACACCACCTGGCTCAGCTGCAATGAAAATCATATAAGGTAACATTGATAACTGACTTTGCCAATAATTATGATATTACTGTATTGGAAGCTCAGAAGGCAGAAATGTGAACATACTCCCTTCCAGACCTGTCTTCAGGATGGAGGCTTTGCTCAGAATGGAGGCATGGTATAAGGATTAAATCTTTTATTTTTCTTAATGAAAAGGTGGTTATGTCTAAAGTTAATGAGGTAATGGCAATCATAAGCATAATAGAAATTCAGAAAGAGATATCAAACTAATAATGTGAAGCCCATGTTAAAGATGGATTTTTGCTTTACATTTGCATAAATAACTCCATTTTGATGACTGTCTCAGAACAAAGGAAGAGCTTTCACTAGAGGAGACTTGATTCCAACACCTGAGAAACAGAGACCAGATAGTAGCTAATGTATTTAAAATCTTTCTGATTTTTTTCCTTTTTATTTCTATCCACTGAGGTTTCAAAAATCCTAGGTTCAAATTTTCACCTAGGAAGTCTATATCACCTGGAGCTCCTGAGGTCTGAGGGCTGTGTCTGATGTGATGTGTTCAACTGTGCTGGTTTGTTCTTTCTACTCATGAATGATGACGAAGAACACCTGTATTAACACAGGAACATTGGGCAGGAAAAGTTAACCTCAGCTCAAATATTATCAAACCCGTATTTTAACTTGCTATTATAAAACATTTCAAACATGCAGAAGTTAGTGACTAATATAATGAACCTCCATGTACTCATCAACTTCAATAATGATCAATTCCTGACAATTCTTGTTTCACATACCCTTCCCCCCATTATTTGGAGTGCATAGAAGACATCATAACATGTCATTTTTCAGGAAAATACTTTAGGTTACATTCATCTTACAGAAAAGAAAAACCCTTAAGGAACTTTTAGGAAATAACTTTTATGTTGATTACTAGTACATGATGTAAAGGCATATAGTTGGGCTTGCTTTCTTTATTAATTGCAGTATTTTTCTGCCAAAACATGAATTTATGGAACTGGAAGTCCAGAGAATTTATACCTATAGGAAATATGAACTGGATTACAATAGCTAAGTTTTTCATTGTTATGCAGGATCCCTATTAGATCCTAAGTTCATGTCACTCCCATCCCACTGAGTGAAAGCCAGACTCCTCATAATGGCCTACCAGGCCTTCACATGGTTCTTCTGGGTCCTCACTGATTACAACCCTTCCCAGGTCAGTTCTGCTGTAGCCATGCTTGCCTTCTTTTGAATTCTCTAACTGGACAGGTGTTCTCCTACCTCAAGGGCAGACTTATCAGTTCTTTCTTTCACTTGGATATTTCTTTCACTTGCTCTTTCTTGGATATTCTTTAGGTCTTGTTCTCTCTCCCCCACCCCCTGTCCACTATTGAACCCAGGACCTCATTCATGTTAAGCAAGATAGGCAAGAGGTCCACTACCGAGCTACATTCCAAGTCCTGTCTCACCCTTATTTCCTTCAAGTATTTGTTCAAAGAGCTCCTTTATCAGGGAGGCCTTCCCTGACCACCCTTTATAACATTATTAGAACTCCTCTTCCCATATCATCCATGCCCTGTTTTACTACTCCCCTCCCCCCAAAAAAAGCTGTTATCACTACCTACCTACCTACCTGTGATCACTACCTTCCTTATTACATTTTGCTTATTATCAGTGTCTTCCCAGCAGGATGCAAACTTTATGAGACCAAGGACTCTGTTCTTTTCCCCTGCTTTATTTCCAGTGCCCCAAATAATGGTAGATACATTAATCTGTATGTCACGTTTTAAAAACTTTGCAAACATTTCAATAGCAACCATTATGTATGGGGCACTGATCCAAGCTCTTAAAAATAGTATCTCAACCCTGGTAGCACTATTGTTACTATGCTCCATTTTATAAATGAGAAACTGGTGCACAATGAGGTAAAGAAACCTATTCAAGATCACACAGCTAATACATGACAGATCAAGGCAATTGGGCCTTGAAGTCTATACACCCAACCCCTGTGCTATGATGTCATTCACATAAATTCATGGATTTAATAAGCCCTTCCAGAATGAGATGCGAATTTTCTTTTAAAAGGTTTCACATTTTAGGGGGAGCTAATATTGCCAGTGCCATCAGATTCCAAATACTGAAGCATTCCCAATTATTCATTCACAATTACAGGGCAATTTGTGGTAGCCCCGCCTGGTAATAAAATCAAAGGGAAAGACACGAGTGTGTTTAGTAGTGTGTTTAAAAGAACTGCAGGCCTAGCATGTCCTTTTCAATAATATGCTATTATCTGTATGTCACGTGGTAGCCTCCCTGATCAGGTGCTTTGGTGTCCTTGTTTCACTGCACCAATTGCTTTAAATTCATGGGACTGTCCTTCTTTCTTTAGGAAGGAATGCAAACAAGCAAGACACTCTGATGTGTTAACTGAGAGCTGTGGGGGGTGGGCACTTGCACAGCTAGTGCCACCAACATCATTTTAAGTGTTTATACGCTAGAACAGAAATTCTTTTCTCTGAGTTGTCCTGCTGTCCTCTAAAATAATTCTGAAAAAAGACTGTCTTCTATAACTTCATGGGTGAAGTCGGCTTCATGAATAGAATTCATCGTATATTAATGAAGGCAGAGTTCCAAATGTGACCTGGAAAACCAGAGAAAATTTCTAGGCGGGCGCGGTGGCGCATGCCTGTAATCCCAGTGGCTGGGGAGGCTGAGGCAAGAGGATCGCTAGTTCAAAGCCAGCCTCAGTAATGGCGAGGCGCTAAGCAACTCAGTGAGACGCTAAGCAACTCAGTGAGACCCTGTCTCTAAATAAAATACAAAATAGGGCTGGGGATGGGCTCAGTCGTCCAGTGCCCCTGAGAGTTCAATCCCTGGTACCGCCCCCCCCACCCCCCCAAAAAATAAAATTTCTACTGTAGAAAGTAATCAATAAAAACTGTGATTCCTGCCTGGTCACTTGAATTTGCAACCCGTCTTTTATAGCTCTGTAGCCTCGGATCCTACTACATACAGTGACTACATATAGTGCCCGGCACAGAGCGGCCCCACACTGGATAAGTGATGGAGTAACGTGGATAAGTTATTAGAAGCCGCTTCTTGCGCGGTGTGATGACCCCGCCAAGTCCGCACCGCCGCCCTCGAGGATGGAGTCAGATTTCAATGACACAACGCCGTTCCGCAGAGCCGACTCTAGCTAGAAACTCAGCCGCACAGGTAGGTTGGGAGCGTCGCACCGCCACCGGTTCTTCTGGCTTCGCAGCCTGAGGGCTACGGGGAGGAGGTTGGTCTCGCCCGCTCGTGCTTGGTCCTCCGCGATCCCACTTTCCTTTGCGCCAAGGACACGTCCGGAGGCTTTGCAGGGCCCTTCTGCGCCACGGCGGCGCCTCTCTATGGTTCTGCCGGTCTCCGAGAGAGGTGTTATGGCGGCCGGCGTCGAGGTGGCAGGAGCAGCTCGCCGAGCTGGGGCAAGTCACTAACACAGAGGGAGAAGTCACCCAAGCCCGACGGCGGAAAGTCGAGGGAAGGAGCAGAGGCCCCGCGGGGGTGACTGTGCCACTGGCGGCGAGTCCCCGGTAAAAGCCCAGGCCAGGCCTCTGCGTTTATGGGCAGAACGCGACGGTTGGCTCGAGCCCCGCACTGCGTGGAATTCTGAGTGCTTCGGTTATAATTGACCCCGCAACGCTCGAGGACGTTCGGGGGCGAGAAGTGGATGGTTGATGGTCGCGGTTTTCGGAGCGGGTCCAATGGCTCACTGAAGTTGCAGCGATGTCGTCCTGGTTAGGAGGCCTGGGCTCCGGCTTGGGCCAGTCCTTGGGTCAGGTGGGGGGCAGCTTGGCTTCTCTCACCGACCAGATCTCCAGCTTCACCAGGGACATGCTTCTGGATGATTTAGAAAACGCAGAAGGTAACAGCTGGGGCGCGGGGAGGGAGGGCTTTTCTGGGACCCTGCAAGCGTCCGTTTGGTTCCCACCTCCGCCGGTCAGCAGATGGGACTGGTCGCGGAGGAGTGCCACTCCGCCCTTTTTTCCTTTTTGGCACTCCTCCTTTGCCTCCTTCTCTACCAGTTCTCTAATGAGAACCGGTGGGGTGCTGGGGAGGCTCCCTTTGGGTACCCTGGATCTGTCAAAGCGGAGTGAAACTGCGCTGAGGTTTTTTTGCTGGGTCTGTCTTTGCCTCCCAGTCAATTTGCCCTCAGTTTGGGGCGGGGGGCGGTCTGATTTTGATCATCATCCTTTATTTCGATACAGTTAAAAGGATGGTCTACCACATATACTTTTTTGTTTTCTTTGATTTTTGTAGCAAAGGAAATAACTCATGATTAAAACGTCTGGTGACTTCTTTACGCTGTCTTGAGTATATTATTTGTTAGTGAAATATGCCTATGATTTTCAGATAAATTGTTTTGTGCCTTTCCTCATAGTGATGGCATGTTACAGCATTCCAGCTAAAAATGTATTTTTATATAATTGCCCGTTTCTCCCGTATTTCAACGGAACGGAATGGGGAAGATCCTCCTTTTTTAGGGATTCCTTAGCAACTGTCTCTTGACAGTTCACCGTATTTTGTTAGTGAACAGTGACCTAAAGGGACATGGTAATGAGTGCTCTAGTTAATCACCATTTTTATTTCTTGACATTTCTTTTAGCAAGTAGGGTTTGGATTAAGAGAATTTTAAAATCATAGTCTGCCTATGACTATGGGAGATAATGGGCTGCTCATTCAGATGAGAGCAATTCTTTTGATAGACTTATTTCTTATAAATTTATAAATTAGCATTCTGGTTTAATTTGGGGTGCTGGAGATTGAACCCATGGGCTCACACTCATGCTAAGCACTGCCCTACCCCTGAGTTTTTTAGCCCCCAGCCCCCTAGTTTTGTTTTTATCATTATTTAACCAATCCTTCATATTTATTTGGTTGAAATAGAGAAAAATGGTTTGATAAAAAGTGCTTACATTTAGTTTTTCGATGTGGTGTCTATTTGAGAAGAAGTGAGATTGTGGAGCTGCCAAAATCAAAATCCATTTTACTGCTTCCAGTTCTATTTGGGTGGGAGATATGTTAGGTTTAGAGATGGTAATGAAAGATTTTCTTCATGTGTCTAGTAAAAGGTTGTTTGGACTTGAGGGCAGTTAGAAACAGAGGCTGAAAACTATGGAAGTGACTAGGTTTAACTTTGTATCTCAGATAGGTGAAAGCAGTTGGCTATTCCTTTGACCTCAATTTTGTTCCTCTACTAAAGGTACTCCCATAATATCAATCTTAGCAGTTTCACTATCTACTCAGTTTTCTGAACTAGAAATCTTCAAGTCATGTTTTGTCTTTTATCTACTTCCCATTGGCCACCAAATTCTTGTGGCCTATGTCAAAATTGTACTTTCCTTTGTTACTCCTACTTCTTCAGTGCTCTTTCATCCTTTCTGCACTCCATTCTATTTTCTGCTGTATTGCCAGTTACTTTTCTTTTTTGGTACCAGGGATTGAACCCAAGAGTGCTTAACCTTTGAGCCACATCCCCAGCCTTTTTTTTTTTTTAAAACAGGTTCTCACTAAATTGTTTAGGGCCTTAGGACCTTGCTAAGTTGCTAAGGCTGGCAACTGTCTATTGACAGTTCATCGTTTTCCTCCTGCTTCAGCCTGCCAAGTCCCTGGGATTATAAGGATGTGCCACCGTGTCCAGTGTCAGTTACTTTCTAAAAGCAAATTTGCTTAAAAATTTCTTGACCTATCACAGATAAAATCTAAATTTCTTAGTTTTAGAAGGCCAACAATTGTCCATATGGGTTCAACCTTCCTTTTCTAATTGCCTTGCCAATTGCCATGCCTAATCTATTTATATATGCATGTGTGCCAATACCTAGAGCTTCTGTCACACAGAACTTTGTCAGGCACCTACAGAACTCCAAACCTCTTCACAGAAAGCCTTTTCTTCTCTACTTCCTCCTTTGCCTGGAAAACAGTTTTCCAGCAACCCTGCTCACAGATCAGGCACTTGGTGAAATCATTGTGACTCTTACGCAAGTTGAATTGATTGCCTGTGTTCTAACAGAACTTTGAGGATCTCTGCCTAGCAACACTTACCATATTGAGTTATAATTACTCATTTTCCTTGATGCCCAGGGTAGGGATGGTATTTTTTTCTTTCTCCTTATATGTCCAGTATGTGGCATCTTCCTTGGTACACAGTGGATGGTCAATAAAAATGTGAGTGATCAGAAATCTGCTGAGTTGCTCAAAGCTTTTATTCCTTTCGCTTGGTATTACAATAGGACTTGCTTAATACCTGTTTCATTTGTTTTCTATTTAAAAATAGAATACAAGCCAGGTATGGTGTGCATTACTGTAATCCCAGTGGCTTAGGAGGCTGAGGCAGAGGGATTGCGAGTTCAAAGCCAGCCTCAGCAATGGCAAGGCACTAAGCAACTCAGTGAGACCCTGTCTCTAAATAAAATACAGAATCAGGCTGGGGATGTGGCTCAGTGGTCGAGTGTCCTCCTGAGTTCAATCTCCAGTACCAAAAAAAAAAAAAAAAAAAGGAAGTAGAAATAGGGCCTTAAAGACCCAGTTGAATATGTTTCATTTAAAATTATGGCAAGCCAAAAAGAGAAATTTACAAAAACTTCTAATTTCCTGTAACAAAATTTTGATAAATACTCTCAGCAAGTAGTAAACATTGAAAAATGATGGACATTGTGTTTTTTTCACTGAGAAAGTCAGCACTTTTTGTCTGCTGTAGTAGCTACTAAAGGTAGACATCCTAAGGTGTAGGAGATTGGCAAAGAGAATGACCCATGTGACAATGAAGAACATTAGTGGCAATGATAAGTTGTGGTGAAAATCAGATAATAAATATTTTCTGAATTTGCTCTTGTATCAGCCTACTTTCTGTTTATTATTATTTTTTAATTGTTGATGGACCTTTATGTTATTTATTTATATGCAGTGCTGAGAATTGAACTCAGTGCCTCACATATGCTAGTTAAGCACTGTACCACTGAGCCACAACTCCAGCCCATACTATTCTATTTAAACTCGGTGAAATGTGTTTTTCTTAAAATGCCTACTTAGGGCTGGGAATGTAGAGCCTCAGTAGTAGAGCATTTATTTGCCTAGCATGTTCAAGGCCTTGGGTTCAATCCGCAGCGCACACACACAGAAAGCCTATTTATTCCATCATATGGTGTTGACCAAATATTCAATATATGAATTTCTTTTGTAGCAGGTTTACCTAATTGTCAGAGAAAGGAAGTTGAAGGTACTGAATCTACACTAAGATCCGAGGTAAGGAAAATTGAAGACTACTATCAAACTTAGATTTTTATCTCTTTTGAAACCATGAAGTTATTCAGGATTTCAGTTCTCTCTTTACATTGCTTACCACTTTTTTTCCTCTGTGTATCTTGTTTGTTTTTAACTTTTAGGAGGCTTACTTAGATGAAGAATTTATTTTCATGACAACAGTTTGTTGTTCTTTAATATTTTCCTCTGTACTTCTACATATTGAAAGTAGGAAAACTGCCAAAAGTAGAAGTAATAGGGGCAAAAGTTTATCGTTATTAAGGAATGCTAAATTATGGTAATACATTTAAGTATGATATGAAGAATGGGATTGTTTAATCTAGAGCTTTTTAATATTCTAATGTTGAGAGAATTATATTTGGGTACAGAGAAGTTAAGAATATAGGAATAGCAAGTTAATTTTGCTGTTTTATTTGTAATTAATGTCTAGTTGTGACTAGTTCTAGACATTGTGCTTAATTGGGAAACTTGGTAGGGGTTCAAAGGAAAGCCTTGAAAGGAAAGGATTTCACAGTAGAAGCTATTGTAAAGGAATAAAAGTCAACTAGTTAGCATTGGAATAATAACAGAGAGCACTTGAATTGCAGCAAAAGGTATTGTTAGAGCACTGTGGAAAGTGTGTTTCCTTTCTACTAAGTTATAAAAAGAACATTGGATTTAGATGTAAGAAAATACTACTAACAAACATTATTGAACTCTGGTCTAGAATATCAAGGTGAGTTTGTGGAACTGAAAGTAGTGAAACCCCTGTAGAACTGTACTGTATTAACTTTCTGTGTGTAGACAATTTGGTGGCACTAAGAGACGTTAGCAGTAATGACTTAATAAGAAAAGTAGGTGCTGTAGTGACAGATGAACTTAATGGCTGAGATAGGAAATTCTTTAAAAAGTACTCATTGGTACAGACTCACCCAGAAAAATTAAACAGCAGAAGTATGTGTGTGAGTGGCATTAACCTAGGTGAATTCCCCGTGACCCATTTGGGGAGAAAAGTAAATATGGTTAACCTGCTCAGTGAATGTCTATTGGGTCTATGGCAAGTATGATTTCAATGTTTAGAAATGTTTATTTTTGGTAAAACTCAAATGTGATCTAGCTTCCTCATTGGTACTTATCCAGAGGTACTCAAATACTAAAGGAAAAAAGGGCTTTATTTGTCAGGTAATTTTAACTGTGTGATTCTTGGTGGCATTAAAACTCTTATGACATCATAATCTTTTCTGTAACTATGCAACATATCACCATCCAGGACTCACTGCTGTTAAACTAAAATAAAATAAAAAAGATAATGATATTTCTGAATAGTCTGTTTAGAAAGTTTAGTATAGAAGAGTAGTGTGTTTTCCATTACAAATTAGATTTGCTTACAGATGTTAAATGTTTTAGCTGACTGAATTAGTTAGGGTGTTTTTGTTGTTGTTGTTGTTTTTTTGAGTACTGGGTATTGAACCCAGGGGCACTTAAACACTGAGCCACATCCCCAGCCCTTTTTTATTTTTTATTTTGAGACAGGTTCTCACTAAGTTGCTTAGTGCCTTGCTAAGTTGCTGAGGTTGGCTTTGAACTTGGAATCCTTCTGCCTCAGCCTCTTGAGTTGCTGGGATTACAAGTGTGTGCCACCGCGCCTAACTTAGTTAAGATTATTTAGTTGTAAGTAAAAGCAACCACCCTAAGCTAACTTAATTCTCTATGTGCCAAGAAAGTAGTCCTCACATTTGTGATCTTTCGTCCAGTGTACTCTTAATATTTTTATATTGTCATTTTTACAAATAATTTACACGAGGTATGAATAAAGTGATAATTTTAAAACTTTTATTTAGAAATGGTAATATTTTAAGTTTAACTTAAAGTCCAGGTTTTTATTCTGAATTTTTCTGGTTTTTGAAAACATATCTAAAGCTGGGTGTGGTGATACTTACTTGTAGTCCTAGCTACTCAGAAGGTTGAGACAGAAGGATTATTTGGACCCAGGAGTTTTAGGCCAGTCTTGTCAACATAGTGAAACCCTGTTTCAAAACAAACACATACTCAGAATAGACAATGTTCTTTAATTCATTTAACTATGTATTGACTCTTTTTTGTTTACATATTTTTTTTTAGTTGTAGATGAGCACAATGCCTTTATTTCATTTTTATTTTTTTGTGGTGCTGAGGATCGAACCCAGTGCCTCACATATTCGAGACAAGCACTCTACTACTGAGCCACAGCCCCAGACCTGTGATCAGTGACTTTGTAGCATAAAATCAAAGAAGCAAAATCTACACCCAAATTTGATTTAGGATTAGGCATATTCTATATAAACATGCTTAATGCATTTGTAGCTTTAATTTGAAAGTGCATTTTAAAGGCAATTATTCTGTGACCTTTTATAGTGTACATCAATTTTTTTTGTGAAACAGTGCTGTGCAGTAGCCATCACTAACCTGTTTTACTTGTATTCTTTTTGTTGAAAATACTTTCTTTGCTTCTAGAATGAAAGACTTAAAAAGTATTGTACTGATCTGGAAGAAAAGCATGAAGCATCAGAGCTTCAAATAAAGCATCAGTCTGCAAGTTACCGAAATCAACTGCAGCAGAAAGAGGTAAAGTTTATTACAATTACTTTGTATTTATTTCACCATTATTTTTAGATCCATAAAAATATTGAAAGGGTATTGAATTCAATAAAACTTGGTAAACTTTTATTTATATTATAAAAACTAACCTTTGCAGAGATTAATTTCTACTTTCTAAAAGAAGAAAAGTTTTTTTTATAAAATATCTTCAGGCATCTGTTGCTCATAATTTCTAATTTTATGAAATCTCTTAACTATTTCATAATCTCAATACTATTCTTAACTATTTTCTTAAGTTGTTTTAAATCAACATGATCATTTTTAGTGATAATTTCTTTTTAAAAAAATGCTTTGTCTATACAAGTGTCTGTTATGTTGGAATATATGTGATTTTCCATGGAAAAATAAAATTAAGTACATTATAATTGATTTTTACTGTTTTATAAATGTTTTTGCTTTTTTCTAGTTTGATTGAAATGTTTGTTTTGGAATTGGCTTATCTTTGCAGTATTAGTGATATTATATAATTTAACCAGTGCATCCTTAAAATATGGACTATGTTTCTATGTGTCATGCTGTTACTGAATTCTTTTTCATGTTTAGTACATAAGTGGAGTCCAATAAAAACTTACTTTGAATTGAACCATTTCCTATTTTATTATCCATATTATTTCAATACTCACTTTGTTTACTAAGAATTCATTTCTGCTGTAACTTCCTATTTGGGTTTTTAAAGTTAGATGAATTGGTTTCTAGTTCCTTAGTGACATGCTAAGGTTAAAAATTGAGGGTAAATATACACATTTAAAGTAGAGCTTTAATTTTCTTTATTTTGGTGCCGGGGATTGGACCCAGGGACACATAACCACTGAGCTACATCCCCAACCTTTTTTTTTGTAATTTATTTAGAGACAGGGTCTCACTCAGTTGCTTAATGCTTTGCTGAGTTGCTGAAGCTGGCTTTGAATTCATGATCCTCCTGCCTCAGCCTCCCAACCCATTGGGATTACAGGTGTGTGCCGCCGTGCCTAGCTTTAGAGTTTAATTTTCAAACTGATGGCAATTTATAATTTTACATAATATAATAAAAACAAATTTCTGCAAGGGTAAAATGTATACAAAATGCATTTGTAGCTTTAATTTGAAAGTGCATTTTAAAGGCTATTATTCTGTGACCTTTTATATTGTACATCATTTTTTTGTGAAACCCATTGGGATTATAGGTATGTGCCACCATGCCCGGCTCTAGAGCTTGATTTTTTACAAACCCATTTTTTTTCTCTTTTTTAAAGATTCAACACAGATATAACAGTTTATTGCTAAACTGCTTTCAAAGTCTTTAGACTTTACTCTTTGAATTTCTGTATTTGTGGACTGGTAGCAAATGTACATGGCATCAATCCCTGGATCACACTTTGAGTAGCACTGACTTAATGGACATGATGATAGAAATAGTAGTTCCTACCCAGGGGTTTGCAGCTGAATCATTAGTGACACCTTTAAAAAGTATACATGTTCATACACCTCAGAAGATTCTGAGTATCCTGGGAAGATTAGTGTACTGGGAAGGGACCTTGATGTTGGTAATTTTCAGAAGCTTCCATATGATTCTAATGCTCACCCCATAGTTGGAAACACTTGTGTGGAAAATTTTGGCATTTTATTTTCTTTTTAACTATTGATATTAGAGAACACATTAAACTGTTTAGAATTTGTTGTTATTATTAAAGCTTGCACTTGAGTAGCTCTAAAACTTGATGTAAATATTTATGGTATAATGACAACTCTTTCTGTGTTAAAAATATATCTAAAATATGGATTTCAGTATTTTTTAGTAGAATGAATGATAATACATAACTATACCTCTGCTGTTTTCTGAATCTGTTTGCTGCACTCTTTGTGATGTCTCTATTCCCTGAAGATGCGGTTTATCTCATATCATTTATGGGAAAAAGAATAAAATTTATATACTATTGTAAGTCTGTACTAGAGAAAGGGGCTCTAATATGAAAAATCTGTTTGTTATGACATAAAGTATACACATATTTGGTTTTTGTTTGACTAATTGATTAGTTTTACACCTGTAGAAATGTTGCTACCTCCTGGCTATTTTCCCAGTATCAAGTTTTCCTTGGTTATGGTAATGTCTTATACTACCATATTATGGTAGTGTCTTATGCTAGTTTAAGGTTATTTCAGTTGTGTCTAGATGGCTTACTTGAGTATTCTCTCACTCAGAATGGATGTGGCATTATGGTAGGTCCTATGTTCATAATTTTGGGGGGTTATGATTTAGTATGGCCAGCCTTTAATCAAAACTCTGCTCAGGGTTTCAGAACTTTTGTATACTGTTCTCTTCCTCAATAGGGTCAGATTTTCACTGCCTGCTTGTTGCCAGTATTAAAGCCAGGGCCTCTTTGAGTGCATTATTTCCTTCTGAGACTCATGAGCTAATAACCATGGGTTTACTGTGTTATCTACAAAGAATGGATCTATAAATCAAAGCATTATTCCAGCTGTGTTGTGTAGAGAAGCATTATCTCTGATTCATGGTGCATTTTAAGACTAAATTCAGCCATAATCAGATACATAAGACTCTTGCAATAGATGTTTGTTTGTTCATTCTTTTTCCTTTTCTTTTTCTTCTCAAGTACCAGGGATTGAACATAGGGGTGCTATACCATAGAGCTACATCCTCAGCCCTTTAAAATTATTTTTAGATTTTATTTTGAGACTGAGTTTCACTAAGTTGCTGAGGCTGTCCTTGAACTTGCAGTTCAACCTCCTCAGCCTCCTGAGTCTGAGATTTAAGGCATGTACCACTACTGGCCTCCAGCAGAAATCCTAAAGAAAATTTAATATATAGATTGACACAGCTTTTCATTTTCTCATCATAAGGTTTGATGATCACCAACAGAGCCCTAAGAAATATCCTGTATTAGCCCTTTCATAGAAGATAGGAAACTTGTGTTTAACTGAGAAATTTATTATTTTACTTAATATATGAGTAAAATTTTGATCTTCATACTACTTAAAATATATGTGCTTTAACTATGGTAATTATGTTTTTTTAAATAAAAATTTTATAGTTGGGATGTTGTAAGTGACTTGGATTCACTTAAAAGATACTTAGTGAATGATTAGTCTTAAAGAAATCATTCTACCTTTTAATATAATGAAGGTTTAAAAAGATCAATTTGTTTGAAAGTACTTTCTCTAAAACATGGATTATAAATATATAGGTAGAAATCAGCCACCTTAAAGCAAGACAGATTGCACTACAAGATCAATTGTTGAAACTACAGTCAGCTGCTCAATCGGTACAGTCAGGAGCTGGTGGTATACCAACAACCACTGCACCGTCTTCATTTGTTTACGGAATGAGTAGTCATTTTTCAGCCTTTCGTGATGATGACATGGACTTTAGTGACATAATTTCATCACAACAAGAAATAAACAGATTGTCAATTGAAGTTTCAAGACTTGAATCTGAAGTTGGCCATTGGAGGCATATTGCTGAGGTAGGTAAAATGTGGGTGAGTTTTTTTAAAACTGTGAATGAGTAAAAATATTGATGCTATTTAGGAAGCAGTGTGTGAAGTGTTTGGTATCAGAAATAATCCTGGACAAGAAAATAGAAAATCTATATTCTAATTCTGCCAGTGGTTCTCTCAGTGGTTTTGGTCAGGTTATGTTTCTCTCTCAGCCTCCTTTTCCCCTTCTGTACAATATTTGGAATTTTTTTTTTCAAAAATTTTAGAGCAACAGATCCATTTTTCAAAATAAAAGTTACAAGCCCAGGAATCAAAAGAAAAATTGAGGGGCTGGGGTTATAGCTCAGTGACAGAGTGCTTGCCCTGCAAAGTGAAGCATTGGGTTCGATCCTTGGAACTGCATAAAAATAAATAAATAAGACAAACAAAGGTATTGTGTCCATGTTCAACTAAAAGAAAGAAAGAAAAAAGAAAAGAAAGAAGAATTGAGTGGAGCTAGCTTCTTTTCCCCCTGAAGTCTCTGAGACTTCTTTGATGGAAACACTAGGGCTCCAGAGCACTATGTTTGACACTATTTCCTTGGATTTTTATCTGAGATTTTTGTTAGCTCTAGTAATATATAAAATGAAAATCTGATCATTGGTATTATAAAATATGTTAAATTATTTTGTGATTTTTTTTTTTCACATGTATCAGAAATGAAATACTTGCTATTTGGGAGATATAAACTTTTTTCCAAGGAACATTTTTTTTTTTTTTTTTGTCTTACACATCAGATTTTATAGACTGTGGAGGTTGGCAAAAGACACAAGACTTAGAATAAATTGATACATTGTTAACTTGGATTTAACTTCATTCATGTAGGGGGAAAAACAAAGTAAATAGTTAGATTTTTTTGTTCTCTTTTTGTGAATGTAATCTAGTTTATGTAAAGGAGAAATCTTCCTAATTAAAATGATCTGCATGCTTCCCATGTTGCTAAACATTCCCAATACCTAAAGTAAACTGTAGTAAGGGCAGTCTGTCCATTTTATCTCTAAAAAGCAGTAATTAAGTTTTGTATGTGTAAAAATAACCCGAAGAACTTGATAATATCAGGGATTTCCTGTTTTATCTCTGGAGATTTATTTAGTAATTTATTTCAGGGCCTTGGAAACAGTGTTTAAATGAATACATACTCCCAGGTGATTCTGATTAATCCCAAGGGGGATACATTTTAAGAAATGTTGTTGAGGGTAAGATTTCATAGGGGAAGATGGGTTTTTGCCTAGTTTGTGATAGATCTCTTCTAGAATATGAAGGTGAAAAGGGCATATTTGAGACCTTATAGGGGCTTAATTTTCTAGTGAGGCATATATGTCTATGTATATTATCCTTAATAGCTACAGGAAATATTCATTACTTCTGTTTTACAAACAGGGAAACAAAGTTATTTCCAAAAGTAACACCCTCATTGTCAAAGTGATTTAAGTTACAAAGCAAATATATATCTCTTGACTGCCAAATACTGTATTCTTTCCATTATACTGTCTTTTTGGTTCATTAACATGATATATAGTTAAGTGTTAATAAGGATAAATAAATGGTAACCTAGCGCATTGGTGGGTAGAGGGAGGGATGGGGAGAGGTTGGTCAGTGGGTACAAAATTAGTTAGATGGGAGAAATAAATTATGATGATCTTTTGGGTACTAGGGTGACTGTATATAACAGTAGTGTATAGTATATTTCAAAATATCTAGAAGAGAGAATTTTGAATGTTATCACCACAAATAAATGCTAAGTGTTTGAGATAATACTGCTAGTTACCCTGATTTGAACTTTCTCAATGTATAAATAAATCAAAACATCACTTGTATCCCCATAAATATGTACAGCTATTAAGTATCAAGTAAACATTTTAAAAAGGTAAATGAAAAACATACAGCTTTGAATAAGAAAAATCCAAAGTTCTTTTATTTTCTTTTCAAACTAAATAATAGGGTTGGGGCTATTATTAGTGGTAAAGTGCTTGCCTTGCATCATGCGTGAGACACTGGGTTCGATCCTCAGCACCACAGAAAAATAAAGATACTGTGTGTTCATCTACAACTAAAAAAAAAAAATATATATATATATATATATATATATATATATATATATATATATGTAAAATCATTTTTAAAAGATTTTTACTAGATCATCATTAGCACTAATATTGGGTAGCTTTCAGAAAGTGCCTTTTAGAAAACTGCTTAATTATTCTCACATTGAATATTTAAGATACATAAATAAATATTTAAGCTACATAAATAAATAAAATATTCTGTTTTTTTTAATCTTAAATTTAGATATTTTGCAAAACTGTTGTCTCCCCAATTATTTAACACATTCTTATATATTAGTATCTTTTATTATGTATTACTCTCTACTGAACAAAGTTCTTGGCATCCTTGAGTTAGAATCTATCTGGGAAATTCTTCTTTTTTGACAAGTATCTTTTAATAAAGTTAGTGACTTTCTGTTTTATAAGAAAATTGGTATTGTTTTCTGATTCTCTTTTTCTGAACTTCTAAGGCACAGGGAACACATAATTCTGATCAAAATGAAATCTGCAAACTACACAATACTATCAAGGTAGGTCAGATGTTGTTTGTCGTTGACGTGTGTGTGTGTGTGTGTGTGTGTGTGTAGTATTGCGGATTGAACCCAGGGCCTTGTGCATGTAAGGCAGGCACTCTACCAACAGAGCTATATCCCCAGCCCCTGTCATTAACTTTTATGCATCTAAAATCTATATGTAAAAATATAAGCATAATCACTAAAAGTCTTAATTAAGAGTGATTATAGATTATGATATACATTTTTAACTGGTTCATATTAACTTTATGACAAGTAAGGTATATAAAAATATCTCTTTCCAAAATAATTTGGTTTTGAACATTTTTTCAGTAGTTTATTTTTCATATGTGTGTGTACTCTGTCTCATAAAACTGCATTAACAGAATTTCAAGCTTGCTGAAGTTTCAAGGTTTTTAGAGTTGAAGGATATTGACAAAATAAAATGCTACTATTTTTTATTGGAAAGAATTGTTTTACTTTAGTGGTAGAAATTCTCTAGTTTCTGTCAATTATTATTTCTTTTAAGAAAAGGCATAGTTTATATGTTTATTGTGATAGTGAATTGCTTTTAGTGCTGAAATTATTGTCAGATACAGAATTTTTACTTTGGGGGTTTATTGTTATTCTAATAGTAATATGTGATAAGTTCCAGAGTGAGACCTGGATATGCTATTTACCCACGGTTCTACTTTGGGCAGGTTTCTTAACCTTTCTAAGCTTCTCTTTTCCCTATCAGTAAACTAGATATGGTTGTTTTACCTACCGTGTAGGTTTGTTTTGAGTTTTACATATAAGGCTTTGAGTCCAGTGCTGGCACAGAAGTGCATAGGATTAAAGAATGACTTACACTTAAACCTCAAGAAAAAATAGCTAATGTATAGATTAGGATTCTTAAGTTATAAGCAGTAAAAGCTTTCTCTGGCTAAATAAAACAAAAGAGGATTTACTGGAAGGATCCACAATAGTCTGTCTGTAGGACTGAAGGAAGAGTTGAGCATTCTGGCATCAGGAAGGACAGAAATGGGAGCAGCATCAGGAATCTAGCAAGATACAGTATACAGACTTTTAAGGATGCAGCTCTCAGGATGCTTCCATGTCCAGGTTTCTGGAAAAGCATTATTGGTCTCAACTTGGGTAATAAAGCACTTTGGTTGACAGTTGGGAGTTCCAGTAGGCCTGGAGAAGGAAAGGCTGAGCAAGAGAATAGTGGTAGTAGGAAAACAGGTACAGATTTCTCAAAGGGTTGATGCTGGTAATGGTGGAATATGTTGTTTGGAAAAGGAGAAGTTTATGTTCATCTTTTGTTTTCAGTATTTTCTTGTTGATGTTCCCTCATTAAAAATAGAAAAACTACAGGCTGGGGTTGTGGCTCAGTGGTAGAGTACTCTCCTAGCATGTATGGGGCACTGGGTTCGATCCTCAGCACCACTTAAAAATAAAATAAAGATATGTGTCCACCTAAAACTAAAAAAATATTTAAAAAAAAATAGAAAAACTAGCTGGGCTCAGTGGTACACGCCTGTAATCCCCGCAGCTTGGGAGGCTGAGGCAGGAGGATTGTGATGCCAAAGCCAGCTTCAGCAACGGCGAGGCACTAAGCAACTCAAAGAGACCCTGTCTCTAAATAAAATACAGAATAGGGCTGGGGATGTGTCTCAGTGGTCGAGTGCCTGTGAGTTCAATCTCCAATACTAAAAAAAAAGAAAAAAGAAAAACTATAGGGTGAGGTGGGACATAGCCTGTCATGGCAGCTAATGGGGAGCCTGAGGCAGGAGGATTATGAGTTTGAGCCCTCCCTGGGCAACTTAGTGAGACTGTCACAAAATAAAAATGAAAAGGGGTGGGGATATAGCTTAGTGGTAGAGCACTTGCCTAGCATGTCAGAGGCCCTGGGTTCAGTTCCTAGTATTCGTGTGGGGCAGAGGGTGGTGGAGAGAGATGACTGTTTTTAAGGTTTAAGACAGGATGGAGGAGGGGGAGTCTTTCCAAATTGTTCAAATTTTGGAACTGTGTTAAATTATTTTCAGCCTTAATATGCTTAGAGAAGTAATTTTAATAATACAGACCTTGGATGATAGTGAAATAAATAGCTTAGGTAAATTTATTGATCATAAATGTGGTTAATTTTGTTTTATTTTTTAAGGTACTTGAACAAAACCGAAGTCGAGACATAGATGAACATCAACATGAAATGTCAGTTTTGCAGAATGCACATCAACAGAAACTGGCAGAGATAAGTCGCCGGCATCGAGAAGAGTTACGTGACTATGAAGAACGAATTGAAGAACTTGAAAATCAGTTACAACAAGGTTATTAATTTTAGTAGTTTCACATATTAGATGACACAAATGGCAAACTAGTACTCTAAGACCAGGACACTGCTGTAAACTTGGACTAAGTTCCAAAAAATGAGTAAGTGATTGGTTTACTCATTTGGCAGATGTTTAGAAAATGACATAGCTTTCAAGATTCTGTAAAATGGAAAGGTCCTTTTTGCTTTTATGGTAAACAATTACAACTCGTAGATTTCTTTGTTGCATTGTTTGGTGATGATATGTTGGTGATAAATGATTCAAGATATTTTCAGATACATTGGCTTTTTAGTAGTTGATTCTGATGTTTCTCCAATTTTTTATTCATTTTTAAAGTGCTTAGTTTAAGATAGTAATTTAAATTTTCTTTTTAAGCTTTCCAAGTTCGGAACTCGAATCTTAGTTATATATATAGTAAGTATTTATTTCTTGGTATTTAACACATGATGTCCTTGACTTTGTTTATGTTCTAGGTGACTCAGGAGTTATAGTAACTGATGAGCCTAAAATCTGTGAGATGCAGAAGACTATTCAGGTTCTACAAACTGAAAAAGTAGAATCTAAAAGAAAGATTGAAGAACTTGAGGAAAAAATCAAAGACATAAATAAAAAATTATCTTCTGCAGAAAATGACAGAGATACCTTGAAAAGAGAACAGGAACAACTCAGTGTGGAAAAGCGACAAATGATTGAACAGTGTGAAAACTTGAAACTGGAATGTAGTAAATTGCAGCCTTCTGGGATGGAGCAGAGTGCTACTGTGGCAGAAAAGGGAAAAATTCTTCCACAGAGTTCAACAGTGGAAGAAGTGCTCAGGCTGCAACAAGCCCTGTCTGGTATAGAATGCTTGGGACTTATTTCAGATTATTGTTTCAGTGCTTTGGAATTGTTTTTAGAGACACACATACTTTAGTAGACAAATACTTCATGAAAATGGAGTATTTGTGGAACCGTCTATAATTTGATTAAAATTGTTTGGTGTGAATTCATTGCCATAGCTAATAGGCAACAAAAAATACTTTTCTATCAAAATGGGTCAATTATTGACTAGGTGTCTCTTAGCCTTCCTTTATTTTTTATGTATTTACATGGAAGTCAGCGATTTAGGAAGCCTCGTGGATTTCTGAGAAGTAAATCCAGTGCACACATTGCTGTGGAGAGGTACTGTTTCTTTTAGTCTACACAGAACTGAATACTTTCTATAACTTATCACAGCCCAGACTCTCCATTCAGGGAATGCAGCATTCCATCTTTACAAGTCCATTGTAATCCTTTTAAATGATTTCCTAAATTGAAGCAGAGGCCCAAAAGATAAGAACTTTAGGTCATCTACTGTTTTCCATGCTCAAGTTGATGTGTTCACTGGTACAAAAATATTAAATTAGATAGATAAATCACTAGTATTCATACATTCCAGGAACATATAATGAGAGCTTTTCAGCTTGAAAAGATGCATTTTATTTTGCACTTCATTATTTTCTCACAGTATAAACCCTCACTTTATGAACTCATTCATTACTGCTCTGGAAGTTTCCAATCCTTGTGTGCTTGTTACTCCCCACATCTATACCCCTCAGCTGCCTTTTTTCTCCAGCTGCTGATCTAGTCGGCCAACTCTATATATCACCTGGGTTTTTTAACTAAAGTTAGGTTCAAAGTAAAATCATTGTCAACTTCTCCTTTCCTAGCCTTGGTGATTGGTAGTATTCACTGGTTTCTCAAATCAGAATGCTGGAAGTCATCACTGACAAGTCCTTGGGTTTTCTTTTCTTTTCTCTGGCCGAGTGATATTTCAGGATTATATCCCAGAGGAGTTCCAGGGTTTCTCACAGGTTCATCTGTCCTGAGAGCTGCCATGCAGGTAAAGGGAAGGCAGTGAAGTATAAGGTCCTGGACCTCTTTCTCATTTGGTTTCAATCAGAATAACTCCGCGGTTTTATAAAATAAATTTAATTATATCAGGTGATCCATCATTTGCTTAAATAAATTCTACTGCTCTAGTCCTTATCCCCTTTCCCATTTCCATTGCCATGATTCATTTCAGTTAATCATAATTGCTTTTGCTCGTGTTAACTATGGTAGATCTCTTTTTATTTATTCAATTTTTATGTGTACTGGGATTTAAAGTCAGGGGCATTTGACCACTGAGCCACATCCCCAGCCCTATTTTGTATTTTATTTAGAGACAGGGTCTCACTGAGTTGCTTAGTGCCTCGCCATTGCTGAGGCTGACTTTGAACTCCCTATTCTCCTGTCTCAACCTCCTGAGCCGGAGCCGCTGGAATTACAGGCATGCACCACTGTGCCCGCTTGAGCATAATAGCGTAGTGTTTAAGAATAAGACTGGGCTGGAATCCAACTTTTGTCACTAACTAGATGACTTTGGGTAAGTTAGTTAACATCTCTCTGCCTCAGTTTTCTCATGTATATGGTTGGAATAATAATAATATCTTCCTTGTTTGTTGTTTTGTGAGTTACTTGCTGCAGAGTTCTCTTTAGAAAAGGTGGTCCATGTCAATTATTATTCATGTCAATGTTACAAAATTTAATTCTCAGGCTCCCATGCTGCCTCCTTCAATTTATTTTATTTTTTCATTTTGTAGCAAGAATAAATTTTCAAAAACACAAAGCAGATTGTTCTCCTACTTTTTAAAAAGTACTTTATTGCTCACCAGGAACTTCAAGATGAAGTCTAAACTTCCGTAGTCGTACATGTAATGCCCCTCATGATCTGATACCTGTCTACTCTTCAGTTTCTACTCTTCCCATTCTACCATTCTAAGCTTTAACCATATTGAACTATCGTAGCTTAAGCCAACAGTCTTGTCTGAGCTCTGTCACTGTTTTGTTTGCTGCATTCTCTTTGTGTGGAGTATCCTTACATTTCTTTGAGCTAACTCTTAGTGTAGTGGTTTAATACAGGTATTACTTTCATTGTCCAGTACTTGCACTGACTTTTCTCTGGCCCCATTTTCTCTACCTAATCTCTACTAGATGTTTGCCCTTTTTGCTTTCATGATTCCTTTTTGTTTGCTGTATCACACTGTATTATAATCACATGTTTACTTGTTCTCCTCTGAATTGTAAGCTCTTTAAGAGCAAGGACTAAATTTTTGCCTTATCTGATATTGGCCTCATCATATATGCTCAATATTTCTCCAACTAAATGTTAAATGAATGACTTCAGCTGAGCTCACGGTATTCTGTTCTGTATTCTTCTTCCAGAATCTCTTCTATTTATGGATCTGTATGTAGTACATTCATATTTAAATTACCTAAGATAATAGAGATATTATTGTATTGTTGTAATATAAATATATATTTGTTACTTTTGAGGTTTCTTTTCCCCGAGTCTTAAGCCTTATACTATTCCTGGTTGCCCAAACTAACCAGCTCATTTGGAAACACAGTTGTTGTTAGTATTTTTATGAAAGCAGTAACATATGATTCATACAGAATACACTTATTCTTTCTTTTCTGAAGAATTGGATTTTAATATAGATTAACTGATTTAATATGATTTCTAGAAGTATGAAATGAAAAAATAGAAGTATGAAATGAGAAAAATGTTTTGCCAGAACTGTTAAAGCTTGCTAATGGTTCTTATAAGTACACTTTGTTTTAATGGGGTTGCTTTTCTGAGTTTAGTATGGGAGGTTATTATAAAGACTTTCTAAATAATTGTAATGTCAGGTTCATTTAATTGTTTTTACAGATGCTGAAAATGAAATAATGAGGCTAAATGGTTTAAACCAGGTAAGCTCATGTTATAGAAGAAAGCTTTTAGCATTGGTTTACTAATAAAAAGTAATTTAATTTATTAGAGTAGTTTGTTTTGTGTTATTTAACAAATTCATGTGAACATTCTGGGAACTTTTGTCACAGTAATTTTATGTTTGCCAATTTATAACAGAAACAAACTATTTGCACCATAAATTTATATTAGGTTAAAAATTTTTATAATTGAAAAATTCAGGTATAACTGTGCAGAACAATTTGATGAAAATTATGTATATAGAGACATTGTACGATGCTATACCAAAATGAGGAATGCATTTTGACTTTCTTTGAGAACTTCAGGGAGTTTCTATTAATTAGAGGTTATATATATATATAATTTTTTTTTAAAAAAAAACATAATAAAGAAATCCTCCTTAAGAATGTCTAAAATGAGTGATTGGCTCTGAATGGTCCAGTGTTATAGTCTTCTAACTTTATGTATCACTAAGGAAATACTGAGTAGAAACACACAATTGTATAAGTAGCCTGCTTTTTTTGTGAACTGGAAATTTCCTGTTTCTGAAAATACTACTTTAACATTTCTGTAGGATAACAGTCTTGCTGAAGACAATCTGAAACTTAAAATGCATGTTGAAGCTTTAGAAAAAGAGAAGTCATCACTGAGTCAAGAAAAGGTGGGTGCTGAAAAATGGGGAGAGAATTAGAATGGTGTTATGTATTACAGTTTACAGCTAAGGACAAGTTTATATCAAAATGGAATGTTTGGTAATAGAGTCCTGAGGACAAAGCTGATCTCATTGATTCTTATAAGACCAAATTGAAGTACCCGGGCAAGGTTCAGAGTGTGAGTGGCTGGCCAGAGTTTACATGTAGAGATAAGCCAGTAGGCACACAGATAATGAGTGGAAAAGATAGGCCCTGTTTTACTATCAGATGGAGTTCTGACTGCAGCAGCATACATATGTGAGTTGGAAGATCTGGAGTGTATATCCTGAATGGATCCATCATGGGGGACAGGAATTTCGTTTTGAAGAGGGATAAAGAGGGACAGTTTCAGTGGTAGAAATGGCATCTTTTTTGTATATGTTGATAGCAAGGATGAAAAAGGATTCTGTAATACAGTATTGGTTATGGAAGAGGTATTTTTTGGGTTTGGACCACTTAGGAAAATTTCCTTGTCTATGGCAGGTCCTTACATAAAGGGTCATTTGAAAACTGGTATTAAGTTAAAGACCAGTGTTTCAATTCAATTTAATTCTTAATTTTTAAAAAGTAATACATGTTTACTGATATATATGTTTAGTACCTACTGAAAATTTTCAGATAATACATGTAGAGTAGTAATCTTTTGCGTCTTCCTTCATTGCTTGGCTTCTTTCCCACAAGCAGTTCTTGTTACCAATTTCTAGTACATCTTTTCAAACATAGTAAGGCATATTTGATTATACATAGAAATTGCTTTAAAAATACAAATATCTGGTTGGGATTGTGGCTCAGTGGTAGAGCGCTTGCCTAGCACGTGTGAGGCCCTGGGTTCTATTCTCAGCACAGCATATAGATAAATAAAATAAAGGTCTATTGACAACTAAAAAAATATTTTAATAAATACAGATGTCACTTTACTTAACATGCTGTTCTTATAGAAACTAATGTTTTCAGTACCTTCACACATTAGGTATATAGGCAGTATTTCTTAAATTCTTAGTTGTTTGCACTGTTCTATACTTTATGGGATCTTTGCCACCACCCCTTCTAACCACTAAATGCCAATAACATCTCCCAATCTTTTTTTTTTTTTTTTTATTACCATACTATATATATTCTGTTTCTACTCTCATTGTATTCTGCTCTTTAACTGACCTATGTGTACTTTGTAGTTTGAAGACTTCTCTACACATATTTGGGGACCTGCAACCTTTTATGAAACTTTTGGATTCTGTAGCTAGTCTTAGCTTTTTTCCATTCTTTTGATGTTTATAGTAGTCCATTGTAACTCTTCCTTATGTCTGTCATGGGTCTGCTTACTGGTTAAGAATGCTATAAGTATGTGTGCCCTTAAGATCCAACTGGAAAAAAAAAATGTTTGTGGTTTTCCTAAATATAGAGGCAACTTTAGAAGACTTAGGAGGATACTTTTGTATTTTTCTGTTCTTTCAGAATGAATTTTTGAATTGGAAGGAAATGAGAGTTGTTATGCAGATGTTCTTTTGTAGCTTTTCTTGCACGCACGCATGCTCTCTCTTTCTCTGTCTCTCTCTCTTTAATACCCAGGAGTGTGTAACCACATTCCAGCCCTTTTTATTTTTTATTTCAAGATGAGATCAAGCTAAGTTGCTTAGGGCCTTGCTAAGTTGCTGAGGCTGGCTTGAACTTTCAATCCCCAGTCTCCCAACTGGGATTACGGATATGCACCATTGTACACAACTCTAGGTCTCTTTAATAAGGTATTATTAGGCTTTTTATTTGAAGGAATTTGAGATTTTTATTTACTTTAGATACCTTAGAAATTTAATCTTTAAAAATCTATATAATTGAAGGAAGGCTTTACACTGATACATAATCACAAACATCATAATCACATTATCAAAATAAGGTTGAAGCAAAGAGAACTGTCCCTCCTCTGGGATTTTGGAGAAAACATTAAGTATCTAGTAATAGACTATAAAATGTATATATAGATCCATGTATAGGAATGTCAGCTTTGAGAGAAGGGAACCTAGTCCATGCTTTGTTAGAAGGTAAAGGAAGAAAAAGGCAGGTGTTTTCTTGAGTCAAGAAAAGTTTCCCTGTTCTGACAGAAGCAAGGAATGAGATGAATTCTAGGGGGAAAGAAGAAAACTTTTCAGAGGGAGAACTTTAGAGTGAATGAGTATTGATTTGTCATTTTCATTTACTCTGTGACTAAATGACTGAGTGTTAAGAAGTGAAAGTAAAGAGAGCCAGGAGACTTGAGGAGTTTTGTTAAGTCTGTGTATGGTGGAGGAGGGGTTAAGGGAAGCAGCTGTGGGAGTGGATAGAAAAGGCTTTCTACTGGGAAAGGACTTGTGTGAAGGAGTTAGAGCTATAGAAGGTAAACATAAAGTTATCACATCTTGTCTAGGGTTATAGAATTTTGCTTGAAGCTAGAAGTAAAATTGCACATGAATAAAGACTGGCTTATTGAGTTTTATTTATCATTATTGAGGTATTGTTTAATGTTTATAATGCAAAGCATTTAAAATAGGTCTCCAAATTCCATTCGTTTGTGTATATAATATTTTGATGTCTCTTCTTCAATGGACCATGTGTTGCCACCTTCTACCTTTTTATTATTTAAGGAGGAACTTCAGATATCACTGTCAAAATTGAGCTGTGAATATGAAGTAATTAAAAATACAGCTTCAACAGACATGAATTTGAATGTACAATTACATGACTTAAAACTTAACTTGAAGGCAAAGGAGGAAGAACTGAATCAGAGTATCAATGAAAAGAAAATGCTGATAGCTGAGTTAGAAGAACTGGACAATCAAAACCAGGAAGCTACAAAGGTAACGCTACATGACAGATAGTAAGGGCTGAGGAAGCACATTCCACTCAGTAGATTGAACACTGGGTGAACATGCAAAAAATAATAGGCATAATTTAATTTTATAATTTGAGTAATGTTTTAGTTTATTGATGTTCTAGTCATAGAGACTGGGACACTTTTTCTGTAGAGTGCCAGTTAATAAGATAATTTTGGCTTTGCAAGCCATGTCATCTCAGTTGCCACTATTCAGCTCTGCAATTGTGATGTATAAACAAATGAGCATGGCATGTGAATTTTATATACAAAACAGGCCTGTGGTCTGTAGTTTTTGTTGACTCTGTTATTTAATTTGAAAATGTACAACTTATATCATTTACCTTCTTTTGTTTTAAATTCTTATCCCTAAAGTGATAAAATGGACCTGCTCTAAGATATTGTAAATTTTGTAGGGGATATTGGGATAGAAAGAAAGTTGTTTTTAAGAAAGATTAAAAATGACTAAGAATTTTCTTTATTAAATGTACAAAATTTTGTAAGAATTTCTTGAGGCACTAAAATGAGAAAATGTTGTAAAGTTACCATACAACTTTTCTTTCAGCACGTGATTTTGATAAAAGATGAGCTATCAAAACAACAAAATGAAGGAGACCTTGTAATCAAGAAATTGAAACAAGATCTAGATGATGAAAAAAAGAGAGTTCATCAACTTGAGGATGATAAAATGAACATATCCAAAGAGTTGGAAGTGCAGAACGAAAAGTTAACTCGGAGTGAACAGAGCCTCAGTGATTTGAACTTAACCAAACAGAAGCTTGAAGATAAAGTAGAAGATTTAGTAGATCAGCTAAAAAAATCACAAAAAAATAGTTTAAACATCCAGCAAGAAAACCTTGAGCTTAAGGAACACATTAGACAAATTGAAGACGAGCTGTCTAAATTCAGAATTTCTCTGAATGAAGACTCTAATTTTAAGGATGACTTGCTTAAAGAACGGGAAGCTGAAGTTAGCAACTTAAGGCAAAATCTTTCAGAAGTAGAACAGCTCAATGAAAATTTAAAGAAAGTTGCTTTTGATCTCAAAACGGAAAATGAAAAGTTGATCTTAGCATGTGAAGAGGTAAGACATAAGTTGGAAGAATCTATTGCTGGTAACAATCAAATTTCTCAAGAAAAAGACACTATTATTGAGACTCTAAAAAGAGACAAAGAACAGATAGAAGCCCAACTGCACCAGGCAGAAAAAAGACTGTTGGAAGAAGAAAACAATTACAGGCAGACTATTCGGGAACTCTCAAATGCACGTAATTTGAATACCTCTGCCTTACAGCTGGAAAATGAACGTGTAGTTCAACTCAATCAAGAGAAGGACTTTGAAATAGCAGGACTCAAAAAGAATATTGAGCAAATGACTGCTGATCAAAAAGAAACTAAGGAAATTTTGGCATCTCATTTAGAAGAACAGAAGCAATTGATACAACTTATAAATGAGAAAGAAGTTTTTATTGAAAAACTCAAAGAAAAAAGTTCAGAACTACAAAAGGATTTAGATGAGTGTTCTCAGGCCTTAAGAGAAAACGAAACTTTAAGGCAAACCATAGAAGAAAAGGACAGAATTCTTGGATCCATGAAAGAAGAGAACAATCATTTGCAAGAAGAATTGGAAAGACTTAGGGAACAGCAGAATCGAGCTGTACCTGTGGCTGAGCCTAAAACCCTTGATGGTATCACAGAACTAGAATCGGAGGTATCTCAACTGAATGTAATAAAAAATCATCTGGAAGATGAAATTAAACACCATCAAAAGATAATTGAAGATCAAAACAAGAGTAAAATGCAACTACTTCAGTCTATACAGGAGCAGAAGAAGGAAATGGATGAATTCAGATACCAATATGAGCAGATGAATGCTGCGCATACCCAGTTATTTTTAGAAAAGGATGAGGAAATTAAGAATTTGCAGAAAACTATTGAACAAATAAAAGCCCAGTTGCCTGGAGAAAGATGCGATACTCAAACAGAGAATTCTGATATTTTTCAAGAAACAAAAGTTAAAAGCCTTAATATAGAAAATGAAAGTGAAAAACATGACCTATCGAAATCTGAAACTGAAAAGTTAGTGAAAGGAATCAAAGAACGAGAACTTGAGATTAAACTTCTAAATGAAAAGAATATATCTTTAACCAAACAGATTGATCAGCTGTCCAAAGATGAAGTTGGTAAACTCACTCAAATTATCCAGCAGAAAGATGTGGAGATACAAGCTCTTCAGGCTAAAATTTCTTCAGTTCACTCCCAGGATGTTGTTTACCTTCAGCAGCAACTGCAGACCTTCACTGTGGAAAGAGAACAAGTATTTGCTGTTTTGAATGAGAAGACAAAAGAAAATAGTCAGTTGAAAACAGAACATCACAAAATGATGGACATAGTAGCTGCCAAAGAAGCAGCCCTCATCCAACTTCAAGAAGAAAATAAAAAATTGTCCACCAAATTTGAAAGTAGCGGTCAAGATATGTTTAGAGAAACTCTGCAGAATTTATCTCGTATCATTAGAGAAAAAGACATTGAAATAGATGCATTAAGTCAGAAATGTCAGACTTTATTGGAAGTTTTACAAACTTCTGGCACTGATAATGAAGTTGGAGGTGTTAATAGTAATCAGTTTGAGGAGCTCCTACAGGAACGCAATACATTAAAACAGCAAGTTAAAAAAATGGAAGAATGGAAACAACAGGTAATGACAACAGTCCAAAATATGCATCATGAGTCAGCCCAACTTCAAGAGGAACTTCTACAACTTCAAGCCCAAGTTTTGGTTGACAGTGATAATAGTTCTAAATTAGAAGTAGACTACACTGGTCTCATCCAAAGTTATGAGCTGAATGAAACCAAACTCAAAAATTTTGGGCAGGAATTAGCCCAAGTTCAACATTGCATAGGGCAGCTTTGTAATACCAAAGACCTTCTTTTAGGAAAACTTGATATTATTTCACCCCAGCTCTTGTCTGCTTCATCACTTACCTCCCAGTCAGCAGAGGTAGAAGAACTGAGAAAATCACTGCAAGAAAAAGACGCCACAATCAAGACACTACAGGAAAATAACCACAGGTTGTCTGATTCAATTGCTGCTTCTTCAGGGATTGAAAAGAAAGAACATGAACAAACAGATTCAGAAATTAAACAGCTAAAAGAAAAGCAAGACATTTTGCAAAATTTACTTAAAGAAAAAGACCTCTTAATCAAAGCCAAAAGTGATCAGTTACTTTCTTCAAATGAAGATTTTACTAACAAGGTGAATGAAAATGAATTATTGAGGCAAGCCGTAACAAACCTAAAGGAGAGAATGTTAATTTTAGAAATGGACATTTCTAAACTAAAAGGGGAAAATGAAAAAATAATAGAAACATCCAAAGAAAAGGAAACGGAGTATCAAGCATTACAAGAGACAAACTTGAAGTTCTCTGTGATGCTGCGAGAAAAAGAGTTTGAATGTCAGTCGATGAAGGAGAAAGCTCTTGCCTTTGAGCAATTGTTACAAGAAAAAGAGCAGGTATGTTCTGGATGGAGCATTATAGGAGGAGGAGGTTGAGGGTGAAGTAGACTTTTTATTTAAAGTACTGGTGTTAGTCTACTCTTCAGGACTATAAATATGTTCGTTTAGAAATATGTATTTCAAGATACTGTGTGATTTATCTAAATAAATTTTCCTCAGGTATCTGGAAGTTTCTTCTTCCAATTACTAATTTTTAATAGATTAATTTTATAGCCTTCAAAATAAAAAAAGGATGTAATAACAATATCTTTCTTTAGAAAATATTGTATCAGAGGGAATCACTTTAACTAAATTTTAGATATGTTTCAATAACTGCCAGTAATAGCTAACATTTTAGATTCTTAAATGAAAGGGAAGCTCTATGAATATAAACCGTCTACATCTTTTACTGTGATCTGCAATAAGAAATACTTTTATGCTGTGACACAGTAGATACGTGTGTGTGTTTGTGTATGTGTGTGTAACTGAAAAAAGTGTAAGGAACCAGAAATCACCCTTACTACATGTGATACTCTGTTAAAAAAAAAAAAAAAAAAGAAAATGCTGGATGATCCATAAATTGACTTTAATGAATCGAATTTGTCACAAACCTGGAATTTGAAAAGTATTAGGCATAAGTGGTACTTTAAACATAGTAGGCTCTCTAAGTACTCTAATCCCAGCTCTGGTTTGTTTGTTCAGCTATAAAATGGAGGATAATAGTAGTTAAAATAGAAAGTGTTGGTAGCTTTTGTTATACTCAGAGTTCTACATTCTCATCTGATAAGCATGTTTTTTATTTTAAATATTTACTTTTTTAGTTGTAGTTGGACACAATGCCTTTATTTTATTTATTTTTATGTAGTGCTGAGGATTGAACCCAGGCCCTTGCACGTGCTAGATGAGTGCTCTATCGCTGAGCCACAACCCTATCCCCTGATAAGCATGTTGTAATGAATATTTTTCATGGTCATTTTAAGAAGAATTATTGGTGATCTGTTGCATTTAACTCTGAGAGCTGCTATGTAAATCTTGGTGGTAGTACCTTTTTAGTGTGATTTTTATAAACTTATGGTAGTAGAAATTTGGAAAAGAGATGATAGAACAGTAGAATATTCAGCAGATGTTGCATTAACATTTGTATACTGCCCAGGCATAAGATGCAAACTGACTTAACTTCTTTTGCCAGTTAAATTCTCAGAATCTTGGATTATCTGATTAAATAGCTACACGATTGTCAGCGTTTAGGTGTTTGGTCTTTCAGAGATAGCTTTTTAGTTTAGATGACACCTGTCTATAATTGGTGTAAAAGACTTTCTTAGAGAGTAGAGCTTCCCATTGTTCACTGATATTGGGTGTATGCTTGGATGGTTTTGAGAGAGTCTATCAGAAGAGTGCAAAACAGTGAAATTTTCTGTTGTACTATTTGTATTTTTCCTTTTGCAGTTTTAGCATTTGATACCATTTAGTTCATTTAGTTGACATTTACATATCTAAGTGTGCAGATTTTTTTAAGGCTCTCTTGTCTTTTAGGAAGCTTCCCTAAGTTAAGTAGTTCTTAAATATTATATTGAGGAAATTACCATGAACTAAACAATTTCTTCAATCTTCTGAATATATTTTGAGGGCATCTTTAGATTACACAGGTTAAACATCCCTAATCTGAAATCAACAGATACTCAATCTGTTTAGAGGAAAAGGTATGTTTCTCAACAGGAGATCTTCAGGCCTATTTAATTTTGTAAGCATTTCTTCTTTCTTTGTAATATGAAGAACAAACTTAACTGAAAAACTATTTGGAAAAGATTAGCCTCCCTATCCAGGGATGGGTATTGGTTTTATGATTCATTTTCAGTGATTTTATCCTGCCATTTTTATGTTCTTTTTCTTTTTTAAATTTCCTTGTTTGTTAAGAGAGAATGGGGTCACACTGTGTTGCCCTAGCTGGGCCTACAATCCTGGGCTCACCTGATTTTTCTGCCTCAGCTTCCAAAGTAGTGGGACTCTAGGTGCATGGTGCATGCCACCATTCCTGGCTTATATATTCTCAAAGAAATGAAAAGTTTACATGGACACTTAAAATAATACTGTATACTCATTTGATATGCATATCTAAAACATTAAAGGATTAACTGTAAATGGCCTTGACATTTTTGTGTGCTTTTTAGAATTCCAACTATTGGCTAAAATTCATGGCCCTACTTTTGCAGTGAAGGGTTATCTTTTATCTGCTGCCATTAATATGTTGTACTTGTCCAGAATGCATTCAAAAATAAATTTTCATTTACTGTCTAGCAAGATTTCATTTGATAGTTGCTTTTGTTAAATTGTTGCCAAAAGTATTCTTTTAAAATAGGCTGCACATAATATGAAAGACTTACCTTTCTCTCTTTTGCCAGACACTTGACATCATTATTTCTCTTTAATAATCATGGGTGCCTGATGAATGAATGCATGTGCACGCGTACACACACACACACACACACAGGAAGAATCCCATTTCTTTTGTGATTTGGAGGCTTGTGGACATTGTAAAATGTAAATAGAATAAATTTGGAGAGATTTTTTTTTTTTTTTTGCCTTGTTGGGTTCCTTTTAAAATATGTCTAGTGAACTTTTTCAGTTAGACTAATTATAGATTTACAGAAGAGTTGCATAGATAATGAAGAGTGTTCTCATATATTAATACTCAGTTTCCCTTATTATTAACATCTTACACTACTCTGGTACATTTATCTCAGTTAATGAGGCAGTGTTGAGGCATTATTATTAACTAAAGTTCATATATTTGAATTCTTTAATTTTTACCAAATGTCCTTTTCCTGTTTGAGGATGCCATCTGGGATTCCACATTATATTTAGAGGTCCTATATCCTTAGGCTCCTCTAGATAGACAGTTTCTCAGACTTTCTTGTTTTTATTGACTTTGACCTAGTTAACTATACTTTCAAATTATTTAATGAAGAAATGTCTTTTTAAAAGTGTATTTTGTTCAAAGCTAAAGTTATTTCTTTCTAAAAGGGAAAAGCTGGGGAGTTAAATCAGCTTTTAAATGCAGTTGAATCAATGCAGGAGAAGACAATTATGTTTCAGCAAGAACGAGACCAAGTCATCGTAGCCTTAAAGCAGAAACAGATGGAAAACAGTACCCTACAGCATGAGGTATACTTTCATTTTAAAGGGACAATGAATCAAACAATAAATTTAATAATTATTAAGATAACTGGAAGGACTACCAAGTAAAATGAACTTATCTCTTTGTTGATTTTTCTTAGACTCCTCTGATTTGCTATAGTAGGATTTTGATCTCCTAGAGTACTTTTTATTTCAGTTTTCAAAAGTGAAAACCAAGGCATATCTTGGATATAAGAAAAATTTCTCATAAAGTAATGAAATAAAGTGACATTTACTGAAAAAGTATTCTGTCACAAAGAGGCCATTGCTTTTGTATAATTCCATCTTCCATTATAGCCACAGCAAATGAGATCTTACTAAAGCTTTGGAATGAATATGCAGCGTGATACCAGGTGAATTTTTCCTAGCATAAATACATCTTATTCTATACGATGTTAGTATAATAAACTTCAGTAATGGGAAGAGATTGATAGCAAAGTGGTTTGTGAGAGGGTGGGGAGGAAGGATTATATAGAATAAAAGTAAAGAAATGTCCTCTACCTAGGTTCAACACTTACGTGACAAAGAACTACGCTTAAACCAGGAGCTAGAAAGGCTACGCAGCCATCTTTTAGAATCAGAAGATTCTTACACCCGGGAAATTGTGGCTGCAGAAAACAAAGAGATTCAACTGAGAAAGAAAGTCACACTATTGGAGGAAAAGCTAGTTTCATCTTCTAACGCAAGGTAATTTTTTCATTTGTTTGCATTAATTTCAACTAACTGAACGTTGCTTGAGTGTCAGACTCAGTACTTTTCATGTTAGCTGATTTTCATGAAATTCATCATCTCCATTGTACAGATGAAGAAACTAAAAGTAAAGAGATTTAAAAATCTTCCCAATATCAGGCACAGTGTGTGTGTGTGTGTGTGTGTGTGTGTGTGTGTGTGTGTGTGTGATTTCCTAGATTTTTTTACTTGTCATTATAGGAGAATATTGTGAAATTCTGACTGATGTAATTAGCTCTGAAGCTCCCCAAAAACTAATTTTTTTCATCAAATGATCTAAGCTTGAACTAGGGATGGATATTAGAAGGGAAGAAAATAAAGGAAGAACCAAAGTGAATGTCTAGTTCACCATGAAGGATGAACTTTTGGTTTATTATTATTTTTGAGTGACCAGGTCTTTGCTTATATATTTAAAAATTTTATTTCTATCAATAGTTTTGTTAAATTCTTTATTATAAAATCATTGTGTTTTTCACATTAGAAAAATCATATAAACCAAAAGAACAGAGCACCACTCACCCAAGATAATCTTTTGTTGTTGTTGTTTGGTACCTTTTTTTTGTTGTTTGTATTTATATTTGTATTGTTTGTATTTATACATATAATGTATTTTTTTACAATTTTTATTGTTGGTTGTTCAAAACATTACATAGTTCTTGACATATCATATTTCACACTTTGATTCAAGTGGGTTATGAACTCCCATTTTTACCCCGTATATTGCAGAATCACATCGGTTACACATCCACTGATTTACATATTGCCATACTAGTGTCTGTTGTATTCTGCTGCCTTTCCTATCCTCTACTATGCCCCCTCCTCTCCCCTCTCCTCCCCTCTTCTCTCTCTACCCCATCTACTGTAATTCATTTCTCCCCCCTTTTTTTTTTTTTTCCTTTTTTCCCTTTCCCCTCACTTCCTCTTGTATGTAATTTTGTATAACCATGAGGGTCTCCTTCCATTTCCATGCAATTTCCCTTCTCTCTCCCTTTCCCTCCCACCTCTCATCCCTGTTTAATGTTAATCTTCTTCTCATGCTCTTCCTCCCTACTCTGTTCTTAGTTACTCTCCTTATATCAAAGAAGACATTTGGCATTTGTTTTTTAGGGATTGGCTGGCTTCACTTAGCATAATCTGGTCTAATGCCATCCATTTCCCTGCAAATTCCATGATTTTGTCATTTTTTAATGCAGAGTAATACTCCATGTGTATAAATGCCACATTTTTTTTTATCCATTCGTCTATTGAAGGGCATCTAGGTTGGTTCCACAGTCTTGCTATTGTGAATTGTGCTGCTATGAACATCGATGTAGCAGTGTCCCTGTAGTATGCTCTTTTTAGGTCTTTAGGGAATAGACCGAGAAGGGGAATAGCTGGGTCAAATGGTGGTTCCATTCCCAGCTTTCCAAGAAATCTCCATACTGCTTTCCAAATTGGCCGCACCAATTTGCAGTCCCACCAGCAATGTACAAGTGTACCCTTTTCCCCACATCCTCGCCAGCACTTGTTGTTGTTTGACTTTATAATGGCTGCCAATCTTACTGGAGTGAGATGGTATCTTAGGGGGTGGTTTTGATTTGCATTTCTCTGACTGCTAGAGATGGTGAGCATTTTTTCATGTACTTGTTAATTGATTGTATGTCCTCCTCTGAGAAGTGTCTGTTCAGGTCCTTGGCCCATTTGTTGATTGGGTTATTTGTTTTCTTATTGTTTAATTTTTTGAGTTCTTTGTATACTCTGGATATTAGGGCTCTATCTGAAGTGTGAGGAGTAAATATTTGTTCCCAGGATGTAGGCTCCCTATTTACCTCTCTTATTGTTTCTTTTGCTGAGAAAAAACTTTTTAGTTTGAGTAAGTCCCATTTGTTGATTCTAGTTATTAACTCTTGTGCTATGGGTGTCTTATTGAGGAATTTGGAGCCTGACCCCACAGTATGTAGATCATAGCCAACTTTTTCTTCTATCTAACGCCGTGTCTTTGATTTGATATCAAGCTCCTTGATCCATTTTGAGTTAACTTTTGTGCATGGCGAGAGAAAGGGATTCAGTTTCATTTTGTTGCATATGGATTTCCAGTTTTCCCAGCACCATTTCTTGAAGATGCTGTCCTTCCTCCATTGCATGCTTTTAGCCCCTTTATCAAATATAAGATAGTTGTAATTTTGTGGATTGGTTTCTGTGTCCTCTATTCTGTACCATTGGTCCACCCACCTGTTTTGGTACCAGTACCAAAAAGCAAAAATGAGATCATTAGTGCTGTTATTTGTAACCTTTTTCTGTCACCTAATATGAGCATCAGAATACAGTAAGCCATGTATTTCTGTACTATCATTTTATGGCTGCATATAGTATATGGATTTGGATTTGTTATAATTTCTTTAACCCAATCATTTATTATTGAACATTCAGAGTGTTTCAACCTTTCAAAATCATGGAGAGTGCTGTCATGATATCTCAAGACTTTTTTTTTGTGGTGAGGACAGATTATTTCCTGTGTAAAATTTGAGAACTTTCAAATCAAGGGGCATTTAAAAATTTTTGAGATTGAATCATCAAATTATCTGCTAGAAAAATTATGTCTACATTTATTTCCATTAGTGATATTTGCTTCTTTTATTTTCCTTTCGCTATGTATGACACACATGAAGATACAAGGAGGTAGTAGATGTTATCTCTTTGAAAAGAGTTTAAAAGTCAGTAGAGACAAATTTCTAGTGAGTTCCTCCGTCTGCTTTGAAAAGTATATTATTATATCCTTTGACTCACAAGGAAATTTTGTTTAATATAGGGATTAAAACAATGATCATTGGTACATGCATTACTTTGGCAGAAATGCCAAAACATCCTTAGGCTGTGGCATACTTATAATCCATCTTTGCAGTTTTTAGGCCCTTGTTTTCCTTAATTAAAATAGTTTCTAGTCTGTGTCTCTGTCGTTTACTCTTCCTAATAACTTCCAGGATAAACTTCCCTAAGATGAGCTTTGATCTTGTAACTCCTTTTTTTTTGAAACAAGTGTCTCGACTTCTGTGATTGGTCCTAGGCTACTTTCCACCTTAGCCTTCTTTTATACTGTCATCCACATCCAGCCAAACTATTATTCAGCTCCTCAGAGTATGATTTCCTTTCTTTCTACTTTTTCTTTTCATAGTAATCCTTCTACCTGAAGTGTGGGCCTATCCCTACCAGTTTTTCTGTGAGTCCCACCTATTCTCCAAATTCTGTTTTCTTCACGAAGGGTGCCTTATTTAGTACCCCTCACCTTTTTATCAAAAAATAGTTCCTGTTGTGAACTTGCGTAATACTTGAGTCTTTGGTAGGGCAGATATATTTTACTTGAGGGTACAGGTAGTTCTTGACCTATGTTACACTGTCTCCCATGCTATACAGTGTAAGTTCATTGAGGTGAAGTGATGAGCTATTCATTATGTACCCTTCCCACCATATATGTTATATACATAGTTTATAGATATTCAGCAATATTTGTTTTATGAAAAACTCAGATCTTTAAACCAATTTATAGTGTTTTGAGCCCTTAATAGTAATACTTGGTATTTATTAACTTTTTTGAGGGCAGTCATAGCACATCTTATCCTTACAATCAACAGTTTGATTTGGGAAATGGAGTTCAGGTGGTCTTATCAATTTACAGTTCTTTCCACAAGAGGGTGCTATTTGGTAAAGTGTCTCCAAAGTGAGTTATTTAATGCTTTTCAGTATGAATTTAACTGGAGGTTAAATACTCATGAAGATCATAGCAGTATTTTTGATGTAATCATAATACAATAAAGAAGTACACCAATGACATAAGCCTGCATGCAAAGGTGCTATATAAATAGATCTCTTAGGAATCTCTGTGTTATTATTTGGAACAGGGGTAGGGTTTATTGTATTATATTTAATAAAGGCAATAAGAGAGATGATAATGAAAGATAACTAATCATAGCAGTTCATCAGTGGGACAGCCTTTAGAAAGTTATACATACATCATGATTGCAAGTGATAAAAACAAGGGAACATCATAGAACGGACATCCATTTCTCCTTAGCTTGGACAAAATGCCTTATGCTGACACAGTGACTTTGAAGGGCCCTTACAGTTCAGCATTTTATGATAAATTATATGTTAGTTTTAGTTTGGAAATGTGAAAGTTGCAGGCTCTTTATAAGTTTTTCTTTTGCCAGCATTTCTTGTTTAGTCTAATTGTCAGTCTTTAAAAGGCCTGCTGTTTGGTGAAAGTCACCTTCACAGGAAGGATAATTGAATTAACAGAAACAACAAAGATCAGAAAAATTCTCCCAGTTCTTGAACTTGAATTTAATGCAGTAAAATGTAAGGAGACTCAAATTTCTAAAGACAGAAAGTAGATGGTGGATGCCAGGGGAAGGGGGAGTTGTTATGTAATAGGAATGGAGTTTCAGTTTGGGAAGTAGAAAAGCTCTAGAGATGGATGGATGGCGTGATGATTGTACAACAATGTGACTATACTTAGTGACTCTGAACCATATACTTGAAAAGATGGTTAAGTGGTGAATTTTAAGTTATATTTTGTCACAATTTTAAAAATGTATGAAAGATTTCATCTTGTTTAAGTGTCTAAAAAAATACTTTGAAAGCTACCTTGTATGTAATGCAGTAAGATTTATGTTGGGAAAATGTTTCTTCTTGCTGAAGTGTCTAAATAGGTAGAAGCAGTTTGACTTTGATTCTTTTGTTTGAAGTCATCAAGCCAGTGTGCAGATAGAGTCGCTGCAGGAGCAGTTGAGTATGGTGTCTAAGCAGAGGGATGAGAACGCACTGCAGTTTTCGCTCTCCCAGGAACAAGTAAAACAGTATGCCCTGTCATTAACCAATCTGCAAATGGTTCTAGAGCATTTCCAACAAGGTAAGTTGTGTGGTTGATCTTGCAGTGAAGAGAAATTGTAGTTGTTAGTAATTTTGCCTTATGTTAATACTTCTTTAGGTTAGACATGGGGAAATCTTTGAAAATTTTCTTGCTTGTTAAGGGGGAAAGACATCAAAAAACCATCAAAAAGTTAATTTAGACTCCTTTTACAATTAAAACTAAAGAACATGAACTGTATTTAGTAATTATTGAAAGCTTTGTGTTTAGTATGTTATTACTAGTTAAAATCAAAGTTGGAATTATAAGGATAACATGAATAAGGATGATCCAATGATAAAGGGGAACAAAAAGAAGAACATAGAAACAAGGCGGTTAGGTTTTTGAGATGTTGATTGGAGGTTAAATCCTCTTCAGAGTGTTAATTACCAGTAATTACTGTCCTTTGAAGTATTTATTTATTAACTCCTTACTCTGGTCATCTGGACTTTGAGATGATTACATTTTCTGGTCCTAGTGAAAAAAAATTTTTTTTTTGAGACATACCAACAGTGATCAAAGCTTTTTTACCCTGAGAACCAAATACGCTTTACATGCTTTTCCACACTTGACCTTCCATCCTTAGATTTATCCAGTTGACTCCATTCACTTATGTAGCCACCTATATGTTTATTCATACATTCAGTAGGTACTGACTGAATTAATTGCTAAGTAACTGACTGGGAGCAGGCAGGAGGAGGATTAGGGGATATGAGGATACTGAAGTAACCAACAAGAGTTTATAGTTTTTTGTCTACACAAAACTTTAAATTTGTACCTCTGTATTCTTTCAGACTTACTCACATGGTTGAAATTTTATACTTTAAGTTGTAAGAGTTCTCAGGTCTACTTTACAATATAATGTGATTGAGTATACAGCATATAGAGTAGTGTGGCACTGAGGCTGTAGAGAAGGCTTTGCCGAAAAGGAAGTATTGGATGGAGTTATGAAAGGAGAGAAGAATATCCAAGATCAGGCTTTAGGCAGAGGGAAATACTAATTTATTTAGTTCCACTTGATCATTAAGATATATAAATTTCTTGTTGAGGTGTTTGAACTGTTGTCAAATTATTAAAGTACAGGTGGTTTAAAATTCCAGTTTTATCACAATTGCAAAATATTAATATAACTTCTTTTTCTCTTTTAGAAGAAAAAGCTATGTATTCTGCCGAATTAGAAAAAGCAAAACAGTCTATAGCTGAATGGAAGGAAAAGGCAGAAAAATTAGAAGGAGAAGTATTGTCATTACAGGTAGACCAAAAGAGTTTTCTCTTGTAAATCTTATTATTCATGGTATGATTACTTGTAGATCCTTGTCTTGGAAATTCTCTTCTCTTCCATTCATATAGTAAATGTTATTTGAGCGGCTGCTGTATATCCAGCACAGTTTGGGGTCATAACAGTGAATAAGGTAGTCAGGATTTCCAGAGAATGTAGATGAAGGCACGTTTAATTTTTTAGCACACATAGGTATTTTAGCTATTTCTAAAGAAAATTTAATCTGCATTTTTAACTTTATAATTTTCTCTTTTAAGCAAAATAATATTAGGTATTACATTTCACATGGATTCAAATAACATATATTATCCCATTAGATCTCTTTCTTTTGTAAGTATCCGCCTTTAAAAAGATTTTTCTCTTTATTATTATGCCATATTTCATATACACAAAATTATATATAAGGCATGTATAACCTAACCTTTATACATAAACTATTGTTATAATTTACTTACCCATTTTACTGACAAAAGAACATTTTAGATATCTTCTGTACAAATTATGTGGTTACGTACTTCCTTGTTGTTTATATCTCCTGGTACACACACACATGAATTTCTTTCAGGTATACATTTTGGTTGAAATTGCTGAGTCATAGATGTTTATGGCGGATTGCAGATGGCAGATTTTGTTCTTTTGTGTTTATATACTCCTACCAAGAATGCACAGGAGTTCTTGTTCTGCATTCTTGTCAGCACTTCACATTATTAGGCTTTTTAAGTTTTTATCAAACTGGTGATTGGGAATTTGTTTGAGTCTGTTTTGTGCTGCTATTACAAAATACCATATACTGGATAGTTTGCAGTGAAAAGAAATTTTATGGGCTAATGGTTCTGGGGGCTGAGAAGTCCAAGACTAGTGTCTGATGAGGTCCTTCTTGCTGTGTCCAACCCCTGGCAGAAGGGCAAAGAGAGGGCCAGAGAGAAAGCAAGAGGGGGCTGAATTTGTCCTTTATAAAGAGCCCAGGCCTGAAATAATGACATTAGGGTGGTGTGCCCATGACCTAACACCTCCCAATAGACCTGCCTCCCAACACTATCACACTGGGCCTCAGATTCTAACACATGAACTTAGGGGGCCACATTCAAACCATATCAGACGGACTCTCTTACAGTTTTTGTATGCATCTCCTTGACTACTAATGAGGTCACACATCATTTAGTGTAGCTGTTGACCATTTGTGCTTTCTTGTAGGTTCATGGATAGGTTTTACAGGCTACATTTTATCCAATGCTTTTAGTTATGTCCAGTGGTTCTGAAGTATCCCATCTGTCCAACTGCTAGCATGGAAGTCCGGGTCCCTTTTTTAAACTAGTGTTGTGTGTATATGTGTGTGTGTGTGTGTTTTAATTTTAAAATGTAATATACATTTAAAAAAGAACAAAATAAACCAGAAGAAATGATGAGGGAATTAATGAAGATAGAATCTGAAACTACTGAAATAAAAACCCAGAAAGAATAACAGCATAAATGCTGATGTTTGAAAATACTTGAGTGTAGTTTTAAGCTTTGATAATTTCATGAATGTAAATACAAGGTTTAAAAATATCATTTGAAAGTTTATTAAATTTCCTTTATATTAAATTTAGTTTCTTGGACTTGGAATATTACTTTTTTTTGGGGGGGGCAGTACTGGGGATTGAACTCAAGGCCTTGCTGGACAGGTGTTCTACTACTAAACTATATCCTCAGCCCTGAATAAAACATTTTGATCTAAAATTTAGTTTCAGTTGCTCTGTGTATCAGAGTTCAACCCTTAGTAGCAGAACTAGTGGGGTGTATGTGTGTACATGTATGTGCATATATAAGTTTATATGTGTATTATATAGGATATAAACATGATTTATTATAAGGAGTTGACTACATAATTGTAGAGGCTGGCTAAGCAAGTCTGAAGGTTGCCATGATGGTGGTTAAGATGGGAAGACCACATCAAAGGCAAGCAGAAGTCGTAGGCACAGGCCATAGATGCTGTCCACAGGCAGTCAGGAAGGTCATAAGCAGGACAAATCTCCATGAGCACAAAAGAAGCTGCTGTCCACAGAAGGAGTTTTTTAGTCTTTTTTGGGGAAGCCTAAATCCCTGCTTTTTAAGAACTTCAGTCAGGCCCACCCAGAATTCTCCAGGATAATGTGCTTTCCTTAAATTCAACTGATTAAGGGATTTGAGTGCATTTACAAAATACCTCTCCAGCAACATCTAGATTATATTTGATTGAATAGCTAGAGACTGTAGCTTATCCAAGATAATACAGCAAGAAAGCTATCACTCAGATTGAAAACTTGGCTTGAAATTTAGATGGGTAAATTCTCCAGAATAGCCAAGAAAATTATGAAAAAGAATAACAATGAGGAGAGATTTGCCGATTAGATATCAAAATAGAGCCACAAACCATTACAATGTTGACTAGATTAGTGGAACCAAAGAATTCAGAGAAAGAGCCCAGGATATACTTGAAAATTAAAACTAACCCCTGAGAAAAGGGGATTGAAAGTTTATTTAAATTATCTAAATAATAACGTTGGAAACTATCCATAAGGAAGAAAATAAAATCAGACTTCATCTTAACATCAGATACAAAAATAAATTCCAGTTGTATTAAAGCAAGAAGTCTCAACTGGAAGTGGTGTTAGATATCTGGGAATATATATAGATTGAATTTAGGGGCACTCCATCACTGAGCCACATCCCCAGCCCTGTTTTGTATTTTATTTAGAGTCAGGGTCTCACAGCGTTGCTTGGTGCCTGGCTGTTGCTGAAGCTGGTTTTGAACTTGCTGTCCTCCTGCTTCAGCCTCCTGAGCTACTGGGATTACAGGTGTGCACCATGGGGATATTTTCAATTGTTACAGTGACTAAATGGTTCTTCTGACATTCAGTGAGCTAGGAATTATCAAAAGTATTCCACTGGAAAAAAGTATTCCACTGTATTAATGATTTAAATATTAAAAAAAAAAAAATAGCTGGGCATGGGGCACATCCCTGTAATCTCAGCAGCTCAGGAGGCTGAGGCAGAGAATTACAAGTTCCAAGGCCAGTCTCAGCAATTTAGTGAGACCCTAAGCAACTTTGCAAGACCCTATCTCAAAATAAAAAGGGCTGGGGCTATGGCTCAGTGGTTAAGTACCCCTAGATTAAATCCCTGGTTAATTCCCCCACCCCCCCACCCCCCGCCAAAATTATCTTGCAGTAGAATCTAAAATACTACATGTTTAATCTAGGGGCAAGGAGGATTCCAATAGTCTAAATTTAAGTTGTGAAAGCAAAGTAGTAGGACATGTTTGACTATATACATTATAAAAATACTTAAATGACAAGTGGTAATAATAGTCGATAGACAAGTGGCAAATCTTGTAAATTTGTGTAGCACAGATGACAGAGGGTTCATATCTACAAGGTACTCGTAATTACAAGTTAACAAAGAAAACAGCGCAGCAGACGCACACAGGCAAAGAGGTTTTTCATAAAAGAGCAGATTCAACTGTCCTGTAAACAGGATAGAAATGTTCAAATGCAATAGTAATTAAGTAAATGATTTAAAGTAATGAAATCATAATGAAACAATCATTTTATGTGTGTTATACTTGGCAAAAATTTTAAAAAGTGAGAACATTTGTTGTTGTGTTTCTTGAATTTGTATCTTTGTAATTTTATTTTTCCTATTGTTAAATTATTTTACTTCTGTCACCATGTGGTCTTTTTTTTGTAGCATCTTCTTTTTTATTTAGTTTCTTTCATAAAGGCAGTATTGTATGTGAAAGACTGCAGGTTCTGTCTTTGATACTTACTAGTTGCATTAACTTGCCCGAGGTCATAGAGGTGCAGCTTCATCAGCCAGGGTGTAAAAGATTGATTCTATCCCAGACTGATAGTTTGTAGAACCATTTTTGGATACTGCTTTTTAATAAACTTTCCTCCCTCAGGAACGTTTGGATGAAGCAAATGCTGTGTTGGATTCTGCTTCCAGACTTACGGAACAGTTAGATCTAAAGGAAGAACAGATTGAAGAACTTAAAAAACAAAGTAGGTTTTTTTGTTTTTCTTTTCCTTTGTTCTTCCCAACAGTACTTGTGTTGAATCAAATGTAGTCTTCCACTATGCATTTGCACAGTTGAATGAGTCCAATAGTTTATTTGGTGTGTGAATTCCATCTCCATCTCCTATGACTGTTTTGCTTCTATTTGAGTCTGATCCTAAAGAAACCAGATTTATTAAGAAGGATCTGGATGTCCAGTTAATTCTCCTGAATGTTGAAATGATGCTGTTTTGTTGGTTGTCATCCTATTGTCATCCAAGGGGTTGATTTGACTGATTCAACTTTTAAAAAAATTATTAATATATTTTTTAGTTGTAGATGGACACACAATATCTTTATTTATTTTTTTGTGGTGCTGAGGATCGAACCTAGTGCCTCACACATGCAAGGCAAGCACTTTACCACTGAGCTACAGCCCCAGGCCCCTAATTCAACTTTTTATGGTTATGACTTCTCCCTGATAGGTTCATGTGCATCCAACTGAAGGCATCTTAGGAATCCAGATACTAAGGGGGCAAGCAGTTGGAGAGGACAGTATTCTCAAGTCAAAGAGTAACTTTTTATGAATTGAATGTCTGGGTATAACTAGATTTTTATGACAGTAGTTGGACTTAACACACAGGCAGACACTTACCATGTTTTTTTCCTTCCTCCCTCTTTCCTCCCTCCCTTCCTCCTTCCTTCCTTTTTTTTTTTTCATGCTTGTAAGGTATCATAAGTCCTATCTGTTCCCTAAGGTGAGCCCTGTGTTTAGGATTATCAGTTGGGGTTCAGGTTATCAAGTGGCTCATAATGCTTTGTTGATTCTAACAGCTGACAATGATGACATGTCCTCATTTAATCTCTGATTTTGGGGTAACCAGGAAGTTGAGGCTATTCTAAGACTATGTGTAGTGGGTAATGATTCAAGGTGATAGGAGAGGTCCCATGGTGGAGCCTAGAAATCCCTAATCCTTGGGTGTCTTTGTTGGCATGGTGGTAATAAGGCATGCAATGAAGGAATTAAGAAAAACATACCATCTGATTCAAAAGAGAAATAGAGAAGATAATGTTAAGTGAAGTTAGCCAATCTCAACCAAATGCTGAATGTTTTCTCTGATATAGAGAGGCCGATTCATAGTCAGGTAGGGAGGGGGAAGCATGGCGGGGAATAGACGGACTTTAGATAGGGCAGAGGGGTGGGAGGGGAAGGGGCATGGGGTTAGAAATGATGGTGGAATGTGATGTTCATTATTACCCAACGTACATCTATGAAGACACAAATTGGTGTGAATAAACTTTGTATACAATCAGAGATATGAAAAATTGTACTCTGTATGTGTCATAAGAAATCTAATGCATTCCGCTGTCATATAGAAAAAAATTAATTAGAATAAAAAAAATAAAAACAGGCAAAATAGAAGGAGGTGGAAAAGCAGAGGTACTGTCAAAACAGAAGAGTGACTTGGACATTAAGGGGGTAAGCAGGCAAAAACCTTTGAAGCATGGATACCAAAGGAGAACCTAAGTAAGTTGGCCTAAATCCAGCAGAAGAAAGGAAATATGGGATTTTTATAAATAAAAACACCCAGTAAGGTATGAGGTAATTTTCCTCAGAATAACTTGATTTGAGGCAGATTACCACCAACTAAAAGCCCTCTACTTTGTAAGAATTGGCTAGCTTAGAAACCAAGTCTAGTGGATATGCCTGGAAATAAGCAGCAAAGAAACCATACGTTCTAAAGCTCTATTGCAGGCATTTGACAGCAGAGCCTGTGTTAGCTAATCCTTTCTTATTATATTTGCCATTTATAACAATTCTAAAGTAAGTGGGTATTAGTTCCATTTTATAAGGTAAAGAAACTGAGATTTGAACGCTGATCTCTTTACTCATGCCCGAAGTTATGATCTTTATACATTATTACATTCTTGTCAGGAAAATGGTTATATATAGTCTGACTTTATCTTTTGTTCTGGATACCTTCACCTTCCTGGAAGATATGGTAGTATCATCTATTTTGTTCCCTCACAGTTGAAATGACTGCTTTACTAAGAGATGTTATTTTTTGGGAAAAATTCACTTAGATGGAAGGCCATTACAGTTTAGCATCATTTGGAACACATATGGCAGTCCAGAGGGGGGACACTGATTATGTAATGGGTTAGCTAAAGAATTCATCTCTGGGGCTGGGGATGTGGCTCAAGCGGTAGCGCGCTCTCCTGGCATGCGTGTGGCCCGGGTTCGATCCTCAGCACCACATGCAAACAAAGATGTTGTGTCCGCCGAAAAACTAAAAAAATAAATATTAAAAAAAAAAAAAAAGAATTCATCTCTTAGGGCTAGGCTCAAACTCATGGAGTTAAAAAGGTGAGTTCTGAACCAACTCATTATCTGTGCCATGCTTCCATGTTATCTAAGGCCATGCATTCCCTTTTAGACAGCCACCTGAGTAATCTGCAGTAGATTATAAGATTTTTTAAAAAATCTGTGATTTGTTGTAGTTGGTAAGGATGCCAGAGTCCTTGCAGTATTTAGTACTTGTTCGATTCCCATTTAAACTCCCAGTGGTAGAATCTTTTCAGATTTTCTTGATCATGTCTGATTGGACTTAGGTGGACTAGTTTCCTATTCATGTAAAAAAATTACAACTCACTGGTGCTGTGGCCTACACCTACAATCCCAGCTACTAGAAGGCTGAGGCAGGAGGATTGCAAATTTGAGGCAAGGCTTGGCAATTTAGCAAGACCCTCTCTCAAAATCAACTAAGAAATTTAGACAGGGCCAGGGATGTAGCTCAATGATAGAGTAATTTGCAGTAGATTATAAAAAAACCCTTGGGTTTTATCCCCTGTATTTCAAAAAGATTACAATTTTTACTCATCATCACAGTGTAAGAACTTTGGACTTAATTTGTGGAATCAGTATTAGCCACAAGGGAAAAACAACAACAACAAAAAAAAAAACTGTGCCATGAGGCTTGTACACATGGTATTTGAAAAGCAGGCAAGGGGCCAGAGTCACACAGACAAGAAGGGAAGTAAAGCTGCAGTGGGTTCTGTCTTTAAATTTTTTCCTCTCTTCCCCTGGCATTGGGGATTGAACTCTGGCATGCTAGGCAAGTGGCTCTACTGCTGAGCTATATCCCCAGCCCTTTAAATTATTCTTGCCTTTTATAGCCTCCTGTAAGTCTGTTTTCTTATATTACCTAAGTGTTTAATACCACTTTTATATCTCTAAACACACAAATGTGATTTTCTCAAAACTGTACTATTGATCTGATAATATAAATAAATCTTTGATTGGCTTACTTATTTCAAAAAGAATTATTGTATACTTCTTTCATAAATCATTAAGTACTTTAAATGTTGATTGATGTTGTAATACTGTACTTTATTTTTAACACTAAACTTGGCCAGACAGCAGAAATTTTTGCCAGGAGAAACAATTTTGAAAAAGGCAGATTGGGTTTTGTTGCGATGAAGTACATAGAGACTTCAATGTAGAGGCAAAGTATTGTTTTACTTCTAAGCATTTGTACACTAATGATTAGTTGATAGGCAGTTTCAACATTTAAACAATATTAGGAAACTTGTTTTAAAAAGTGGTATTTTATTCACAATGGTTGATTTTTATCACTGCTATCAGAGATGAGATGATTTAGTCTAGTCAAACAAAAGAGAATGGTTGCATATGACACCAGTATCAAAACACCAATATCATGCTCATGATTTCAGCCCTTCTTAGAGTGCATAATTATTATGCCCTGAACATTCAACTGGGATCATGAGTTGAGGGTATTTATAGGCCTTGTATGAAAAATGTAAAGGTAGATGCTTTATTGGGCATTAGCTACTTAATGAGAACCAATCACTTGACTTTGTATTAGGTGCTGTGTAGCATATTAGAGAGATCCCTTTGTACAAGGAACAAAGGAAACTATATATAGCACAGATACACCATGAGTTAAGACAGTGGCGCACAACAGTGATCATATGACAAGTGTGCATTTAGTTTCTAGAACCTATTAAGGGTCAGGCAGCATAATGTGGAGGAAAGGAACTTGAGGGAGAGCCTTACACCACTAGTAGGTTCTTATTCTTTTTTTTAAAATTTGTTTTAATTAGTTATACATGACAGTACAATGACCTTGACATATCATACATTTGAATCAGATGGGATATAATTTCTCATTTTTCTGAGTGTACAGGTTGCAGAATCACATTGGTCATGCAGTCACATATATACACACAGTAATAATAATGTCTGTTTCATTCTACTATCCTTCCTATCTCCCCAACCCCTCCCCTCCCCTCCCCTCACTTCTCTGTAGATTCTTACAAAGAATAAGAACTATTTAAAACTGTGAGAACTGTTGAAAACTGACTTACATATTCCCCGCTATACCTCTCGAGTAACAATAAAAGGAAACCCTAAGGTCCTATGAGTACTATATTTTAATACATAGTGTTGACTGGTAGAAGGGTTACTATTATCCTTTAGTTTTGGAATTATTCCACCTGAAGGCATGCTTTTTCATTTGTAATTTGAAAAAGTTTAAGAAGACTTATTTCACATACCACATTATATTTGTTTTTTCAAACTCAGATAGGACGGTGTCATTATTGAGTATATTTAGATCCAGAATTTTCATAAAATTGTTATTGATGAGATATACACATCAGTGTAAACCTAGACTGTAGCTGAACCATTAAAAGATGTGTTATCTCGCTGTCATTCTTTTTTCACTTCTACCATCATCCTTGAGATAAATTCCTGCTTAAATGAAAATGATTGGATAAATAATTAGCAAATAATAGTTCTTGTTTCAGTAACTGTTACTTAAAAGAGTGGTGAATTTTATGATATGCAAAGAAAAACAAATTTTCATATGCAGTACAATTTAGTTCTAAGTTGGGAAAATGTTTTGGGTCTATCTGCCATTTTATACCTCTATTTTAAAAGGTTCCAAACTACTGTGTCCTGCCCCCTCCCCTGCCACCTGCTTTA